CCTCCCATCCTCTGACTGGAAGAGGCTCAGGGCTCAGAGTGTCTACCCCTAGTGGCCTACTGTGGTAAAGTCATTGTTTCAGTTTTTGGACCCAGAGTTCAAAGAGGAAAAGGAGAAAGAGAGAAAAGATCAGGTATAAATGTTGATTCCTTTGCACCAGGGCCAAACCTTTACAACTTAATGATGGAATCAAGTAAAGAAGCATTACAAATTATCTTGTAGGCAGACATTTGATCTCCATAAAACCGGAAAAGGGTCACATTGATTAAATTTTTACAAGTCTCAACTAAAGACAAGGGTTTAATAAAAGAGTCCCCCATCAAGCATCTCATGCTATGTCTCTTTGGCAATTTCGGGGTCTTGTAAAATATGCTGCCAAGATCTGTACCCTGTGGCCTTGCTTGTCGAATCCTTCCCATATATGTTTCCCCTTAGAAAGTCATTACCCCTTCTGGGACCTTTCCTTTCTGATGCCCACACAGCTTGATTGAGCAGAATGGCCAATTCATCATCCCTGTTTATCTCCTGAGAGAGGAATTTACAGTTAAATTAAAAATCGAGTCAGATAGCACTGATGCAGATGTTTGGTTTTCTGTAGGCTGTTAATCTGAATTAGTGGAAAGTCTGATTTATGAAATAGCCCTACAGAAAGGCAGCTTTAATCTTCTGTGGTTCATATAAGAGCCGTGTTGCCAAGAGTAGGTCATTTCAGACCTGCCTTAATGAGCGGACTGGGCAAAGGTCTCCTCACAATTTTCTCTAAAGTCCAAACAGTCTCCCCTAAAATTCCCTACACAGTTTTGTTTCATGAGGATCATAATCTTTAAGTTGGAAGACACTTAAAGATCACTAAACTCCATTGTAGATCAGTAATAAGAATCTTAATTGCCAGCTATCTGTTCACCAAAATGTATCAAGCTCACAGGCCTACAAAGCAATGGCTTCTTCCTGTGACCAACTGTAGATTTTTTAAGCCTTTTCTGATGTTGAGGTGAGATCATTCCTGGATAGATCTCGAACTCATTGATCCTAGTTTTACCTTGGAAGGTAAAACCTTCAGAGCTAGCCCACTCCCTTACCGGACAGACCTTCTGGTTTTTAAAGACTGTTGTCACATGAACCACCCTCCTCCCTGCCCCAGAATCTTCTCCAGGCAAAAAAGTCCCTGTTCCTTCATATGGCTTCTGGACTATCTTATGGTATCACATATTGAGCCTTTTATTGCAGAAGAGGCTTGGTCAGTATAAGCTTAGAGAGACTGACATCTGTTCCCCTGGTGCTCTCAAGCCTTCCACACCAGGGTCAATGCTGTCTGGAGGAGGCATCTTAAAGGCCTCCCAAACTTCTCCACCACTGGCCTGCTCTTTGATCCCCTTCCCTCACCCTGGATTTCCCTTCTAGGATCATTGACTTGCTAAGCCAACTTCTTTGCCCTTAGTCTGGCCCATGACCATGAAGACCTACTGAATGGGGTTAGGATTAAAATGAGGCTACACTACACTTGGTACAAACTGCTCACCCCAATGAACACAATAGCAAAATCTGATCTTTTAAAAGGTTGAACAGTTCACTTTGAAGTTGTCCACAAACGTGTGTCCTTTGAGCAGTTTTATTACATTCAGGGTGAAGTCACAGAGTACACTTTTAATATTTACAGACTATAGATAGTTTAATATATTAAATGTTAATGATTTTTTATATCATCTATTATCTTTGTTGTAACCACTAGCATTCTTTTTAAAAGCAGTTTATTAAAATACAAGAGTAAATGGTGTGTGGGAAATAATTCTACTGCAGTTTGATAAATGAAGAATATGGAAATTGCACATTCGTCCTTCATCTTCTCAGCGGAATCAAGAGTTGTGTTTCCTAGTGTCGCTCATAGCCAGTTTAATATACATTTGAAAAATAAATTAGTGATACATGAAAGTAAATGTAGCAAAAGTGGGAATTTAACTAACTGAACAGCTAACGGGCTTCAGGGAAGAACTGAAAGTGAAATATGGTGATGATTTGCTAACTGGAAAGCTCCACGGTGGATTCTAGACAAGAATGTGGCCCTTGGTCAATCCTGATATTGACGTTTTTCCTGCTTGTGAAGACAATGTTTTGGTCTTGTACTCACTTTTTGGCTCTCGGAGGGGCCCCAGCTGGGTGCAAGGTGGGCCCACAGGAAGTGAGGGTCAGACTCAGAGGTGTGCCCTACGTCCCTTAACAAGCTGGGTGCAGTCAGATTGCCCACCAACCACAGGAAGAGCAGATGGATAGTGGAGGCAGAGGAAGGTACTGCGGAGGGCAGTTTTACTCATTTTAAGCAATGCCATTCTCTCCCACCAATGCTGGCTCTTCCTTGTTTCCAACTGTGCAACTGCCCGGAGGAAGCAATTCTTTCTCATTAAGATGCTGAAGTCCTTCACCCCCAGCTTGGGTTCTCATGGTGTCCTCTCTGAATTCAAGTCCACCGTCCCTCTCATCCCCAAGTATTTATGTCCATCAGTGTGGGTATGAAAAACTCGCGTACCTCTCTCTGTTCTTTCTCTACCTGTTTCCCCTGAGTGGTCATTGTCAACGTTGACTGGCCGTAGGCTCCTTCCTGAGAACATGGCAATACATTTACCTGTAAGAAGACTTAGGGAAAATAATTTCAGGCCTCATTTCACTGCTTCTCAGTCAAGGTTACGCTTAGGTTTCAAATCATCTTTATTTTGTATCTGTGTCTGTATATCTATATTTACTCATACAAATAGTTAGTCAATTTTTTTCATATGTGATTTCTGTCCATGTCTACAATCTCATTCTGAAATTCAGAAAGTTTAGAGAACTGTTGTTTTCAGTGACTTTGAGCCAAATTCATTTGACGTCAAAACCTGACCTAAACTGAGGTGCAGCTATTAATTTCAAGTCTTTATGACTGTGACTGTTAACTGCAGCAGTATTAATGAGTTTTATTAAAGGGTGCTACCCTGAATCCACTGGGGGGTATTATAGATATGGTATAGCTATCTATCTATCTAGCTATCTATATCTATACTTTTAATTAAACAAGAGGAATTGTTTAATTAAAAATTTAAATATCAAAATTCATCTCACTTCCAAAAGTCTTTGGATAAGGAATACTTATATACAAACACACACACACAAACCAGAATTTAATGCATAGATAGGAAACAACCTTTTCATTTGAAAATCATAAATGTGGGAGTACATGTTAGATCTTAACTGTCAATCCACCAGCCAGGAGTCTCAGTGTTGCCGATGCTCTATGCTGTATCTGAAACTTTACTTGGGGGGAATTGAGGCCAAGTTAGCAAGCCTCTGGATTAGTCTGACTTAAATCTGTTGCCTCAGTCTTTAGTTAGTAACCAAAGACAAAAACAATTGATTAGATTTAGAGGGTACTTTGCTTAAATATGGAGTCATTATACTGCAAAGGAATACAGGGAAAGAGGCGCACTGAGTTGAATATATAGATCCCTGGCCCCACTGTCTCTCTTTCTCACACACACAGATACACACACTTTCCCAGGGGGTGTAGGCCCCTGTTTCTTCTGCTTCCCCTAATCGCTTGGTGTATTTGGCAGACAAATGTACTTGCAGATAGCATTTACTTAGCAGATAGCATTTTAAAAGGAGCTTTGGCTATATGAAAGAGAATAGCTACCTGGGAGATGAAAGGGGCTGTCTTCAGGGGCACGAGGCACATGTAATGAAAAGTCTCTCTGAGTTGGACGAGGCACCCATGCTGGTTTGAAAGGGATCCTCTGCCTTCCCAGGCGAGAGCTATTATGTTGAAAATGAGGCTTTGGTGAGAGGATGAAGTGGGGGCAGGTGAGGAATAATGGTCTGTGATTCCAGAGTCTTGGACACAGGAGGGCCTTTGGAGGCCCTCTCTGCCAAAACTTGCAGGTGGAGCCACAAGACCAGGTGTCCTCCAGGGCCAGGACTGGGCTTTCTGGGGAAAACCAGGTAAGGAGCTGGGAGTCTGAGAGGCAGCGAGGTTCGGACGGTCAGCCAGACAGGTAGGAGGACCAGTCCAGCACTACAGCAAAGATGCTCTGGCCCCCAGGCCACCCCTCTCTGTGATTTAAACTTCTCTCCAAAGAGGAGCATGAGCTGATGAGACAGAGACAGATTAGAACCCTCCCTCGACTTTAGAGCCCCATGTTAGGGCAAAAACAGGAAAACTAGCCCCCGAAGATGATGAGCAAAATGACAGAAAGGCAGTGACGTATCCCAAAGTGCCAAGAGTCAGCTGAGGTTGATTTGTTATGGGGCACAGAGGGCAAACGATTAGTAAGGAAGAGTATGGATTATCAATAAAGACAGAGTGGCAAATTGTGTCAATTTCCTTGTGGTTTGCTTGGTCAGCTTTACAGATTTAAAATCAGCCATTAGAGATGGTTAGTTCTGTATGATCATACTTCCTGGTTGGAGTTATCTGAAGAGGTTACAGAAATTCTGGCAGAAGAGGCTGTGCAGTGCACCCTCTCATCTCCATGGTAACACAGTCAGCCCTGCTCACCTTGGGACTGGGCACTGGGCACCTGGCTGCCAGTGTCTTTACACAACCCTGCCCTTTGAGGGAGCTGGGAGGCTTTGGTCCCAGTTTCATGCCTCTATATAGCTGTGAGGCTGCAGCAAGAACCCCCCTCCTCTGAACCCCAGTTTTCTGTGACGAAAGTGAGAATTCAACTCACCCCTTCTTGCTGAGAGGACTGTACTGCACGTATAACTAAGATCAGAGCCCCTTTACAAACCTGGAGATTTCGGAATAGGATAGCAACTGAAAATATATCTTAACAGAAAAAAAAAAGAAAAAAGAAAAACAACCTGGGACTGTGGGTCACTCCCTCCTGAGCCTCATAGTTCCCATCTGTGAAATGGAACGGCACACTCCACTCAGCCTGGCCCTCACAGATGATCAATCTTCATGCCCACCTGGACTCTTCCAGCCAGTTTGGGAGTAAAACAGGCAATGAATGGTGTCATTTTCCTTTCAGCCCACTCTTGGCCACGCCCCAGCCCCCACCTGCAGCGCCCACCAGTGGGGGATCCGGCAGCTCCAGTGACTCGGAGAGCAGCTCAGAGTCTGACTCAGACACTGAAAGCAGCACCACTGACAGCGAAGCCAATGAGGCGCCACGAGTGACCACTCCAGAGGTGGGTGAGGAGCCAGGGCCCCGACACAACACCCCCGACATGCACACACACAATAATGCGATAATGATAATATTCCAGCACAGTCGTGACCTCAGCACAGTAAATACTTCAGAAAAGCACTCAGGTATTTGATAGCACTTTTTTCTTCTAACACATGTATTTATAGTTTCTAACGGACATTTCTTGCCATGTGACTGATGTGCCATGTGACTCACTCAGCTACTCTGAACCTTGAGCTTCCCCATTACTATTATACTGGAATAGTAATCACTGAGCTCAAAACTTCCCTTTCGGGAGAACCAATGAAGCAAGTCAAGGCCCACTTCTAGGTCTGGGGACCTTCCTCTAGCTTGAAGTGATGAATTGTCACTGGGCAAGTAAGATCCAAGAAATGTGATGGCCGAAAGGTCACAGGGTTTTTTTTTTTTAATTTCAAAGAATATTTTTCAAATGTGCTCAATGGTAATTCATGAAAACATTTAACATAGCCCCACGAAATAGCAAAATTATAATTTTGAGATCAAAGCCATGTCTTTCCCCTCCATCTTTGACTACCAGCCTCCCAGTTCTCCTGAGTTGGCACCTCGTAACAGCAAGCTGATCCCTCAATGACTTTGGACACATTGTTTATCAATAGTCAGAAAAGAATAACAGAAGATGCCACCATGACATTACCGCTGTCCATAAGAGCCCACACTTTGTGAATGTGGATCAATGTGCCAGGCTCCATGAGAAGCTCGTGACTTGCATTTTCTCATTTCATGCTCATGACAACCCTTTAGGGTCCTGGCTATCATTATTCCATTTTATAGACAAAAGAATAAGGTTCTGAGAAGGTAAGAAAGAACTTTCCCAAGATCTCACGGGAAGGGAAGGGCTGAAACCAGGGTGTGTGCTACGAGAGCTGGGGCCCCTAACCTCGAGCTCGGCTGCCAACAGTAGCAGCTGCTCCAATGGCCTCGACCCTTACCTGCCACTGCTCTATGCCAGTTGGAATCATGGCTACTCAAAACGTTTTGAATTGTGTCAGCCTCTATTGTGTGGTGCCATAAGCCTCAGTTGATGGCTTGCAAAAAAAAAAAGAGCAGTTCTAATAAAAAATGATGGGTCTTTTAGTTCAACAGGCAGAATTCAGACTTGGGAATCAAGCACCGAATTGTACGTATCATTTCCATGGCTTAGCAGCAGATGCTAATGTCTGCAAGCATGTCCACATAAACTGATTATTGCCCATACACCAAGGAAAGTGCAGTAGTTTTTTTGGAAGTCAAATCTTTTCATCCTTCAGTAAAAATACAAAAGGCCTCTTCTTTTTGCAGCAAATTACAACATTGTATAGGAGATCCTGACACTTTGGCAGAGAAAGACTTTCCTTTTGAATTACACTTGAGGCACACTCACATTTCTTTTCAGGACCAGAGATCATTCTCTCAGCCTCCTGGTGAGAGGCTGAGTAATGAGTCCCACCAAAGGATTTTGGGAACCAGTTTCCCTCTCCAGCTCTCTACCCACTCTCTGGAAAAACTCTCTGTGCAAAATTCTTTCCTTGCTGGCCAGAGTAGGGGATAGTTTCAGAAGCTGTGGTATATATACACCATGGAATATTACTCAGCCATTAAAAAGAATTCATTTGAATCAGTTCTAATGAGATGGATGAAACTGGAGCCCATTATACAGAGCGAAGTAAGCCAGAAAGATAAAGACCATTACAGTATACTAACACATATATATGGACTTTAGAAAGATGGTAACGATAACCCTATATGCAAAACAGAAAAAGAGACTCAGATGTATAGAACAGACTTGTGGACTCTGGGAGAAGGCGAGGGTGGGATGTTTCAAGAGAACAGCATTGAAACATGTATATTATCTAGGGTGAAACAGATCACCAGCCCAGGTTGGGTGCATGAGACAAGTGCTCGGGCCTGGTGCACTGGGAAGACCCAGAGGGATCGGGTGGAGAGGGAGGTGGGAGGGGGGACTGGGATGGGGAATACATGTAAATCCATGGCTAATTCATTTCAATGTATAACAAAAACTACTGTAATGATGTAAAGTAATTAGCCTCCAACTAATAAAAATAAATGGAAAAAAAAAAGAAAAAGTAGGACTTAGTATAGTGGAGCAACTTTGTGAAGTATTTGGCTGTGTAGGGAATGTGATAGATGTGAATTTCATGTATGTTTCTAAATGTGTGAATGGTCACTTGACAGCCAAAGCTTTTACCAGTCAACAGTCAGTACACTGAGGGTCCTCCTGACTTCTTCCCAAAGGTGACATTCATTCTTGCCACCGTTTCTCACTCCACAGCCTGAGCCGCCCTCCACCAACAAGTGGCAGTTGGACAAATGGCTTAACAAAGTGACATCTCAAAACAAATCTTTTATTTGTGGCCAAAATGAAACACCCATGGAGACGATTTCTGTGCCTCCGCCAGTCATTCAGCCAATGGAAGTCCAGGTCAAGGTGAAGGCAAACCCCAGCCAGGTCCTGCCTGAACCCAAAGAGAGGCCTCTCCTTGGTCTCATCAGGGAGAAAGCCCGTCCACGACCCACCCCAAAAACTCCAGAAACAAAGGCTCTGAAGCATAAGTTGTCCACAGCTCTTGAGACAGCGTCTCAAAGGACAATTGGGAAAAAGCAGCCCAAAAGGGTCGAGAAGAACACCAGCATTGAGGAGTTTACCTGGCCCAAACCAAATATCACCAGCAGCACTCCCAAAGAAAAGGAAAGCGGGGAGCTTCCTGACCCCCCGAGAGGCCGCAGCAAAGCCGCTGCCCACAAGCCGGTTCCCAGGAAAGAACCGAGGGCCAGCATCCCCTTGGCTCCCGAGAAGAAGAAGTACCGAGGGCCTGGCAAGATGGTTCCAAAGTCCCGGGAATTCATTGAGACCGATTCGTCTACGTCTGATTCCAACACGGATCAGGAAGAGCCCCTGCAGATCAAAGTCCTGCCTCCATGCACTGCTCCGGGGGGCAACACCACGAAATCCAAGGAAGCCGGAGGGGCCAGCCTGACCCTCAGCAGCTTTCTCAGCAGTGGCAATGGCAACAACCCACCAGTCCCGAGTGAGGAGCCTACTCTGTCACCGGTCCCTGTCACACAAGCCGAGGTTCTGTCTCCTGTCCGAGATCAGGAGAATCTGAAAAATCTCTGGGTGAAAATTGACCTTGACCTACTGTCTCGAGTGCCTGGCCAGAACTCACTCCAGGCGGCGCCAGCCAAGCTAGACCACAAGGAGACGGCCTCAAAGCCCAAGCGGCAGACAGCTGCGGCGCCTGCAGAGAAAGCTGCCCCCAAGGGCAAGCGTAAGCACAAGGTAAGCCGTCCGTCGACTCCGGCCAGCCACGTGATCGGGAGCAGTGGCTGTCTGGGCTACTTTGATATTGAGTCTCCTTTTCCAGAAGGCTAGTGTCAGTGGATTGCAGTCTTTGGTGAAAGCAACGGATATTAATACTTTCCCTGGGGAATGTAGTATTTGACATGACCAGGGAGGAAGTGTTAGGGATAATTATGGTTTTATAACCAATGTCAAGAATATCCAGTATGGCATGTGAGGAATTATGATGTGTAGCAACAAAGAATATGAAGTCTCCTTCCCCAGGCAGCCAGTCTGTCAGGTCGGCTACTTAAGCTGCTCCTGCTTCCTGGATTCATGGGTCACTATTCTACAGTCTCCTGCCCCAGCAGCAGCAGGGCACCCAGGACTCATAAGGTCAAAATGCATCCTCTAGGCTTTGTTAATTTCTACATACAAACATCAGTATCCTTGCCACCCAGTTCCATTTTGATTACCCTGGCTCCTACTAGACACATGCTCTGTCCAGCCTGCTTGGCCCCCTGACCTGTGTGGTTGGCTTGACTCGTGAAAATCTCTCCTGCAGGACATTCAGGTTGGATTCCCAGGCTACAAATGTAATCAGAAGGTGAAACCCAGAATGGCCTTTTCCATTGCACATCTATCTGGGGAACTGAGTTTGTGTCTAGTAGGTTCATTGCACACATCTCTGGGTGTCACAGTAGATTTTTAGCATAACATCATCTCATGGTGATTCTTGAGTAATATTAGTTTGAATAGCTGCCTTGGGGACTCCTGCAACGATGATTTAAGTCATCGTTCAGCTTTAAAGATTCACAGGCGGTTTTATCTCTGAGCTGTGGTGCCACCTTAACTAACAAGAGTATTCCAAAATAGGGAACAAAGTCTGGGGCCCTTGCCCTATCACTGTTTCCCTGTTGTTAGGACAGCAGTGCAACTAGGAGTAAAAGTGTACCTTCAGAACCAATACATGAAGGTCCAAAGGTGTGCCTTACACATGGTTAATTTCCTTGCATACTGTTGGTTGTACAAGTGACCTTTGTGTGTTACCCCCAACCCCCATGTTGCTTGGACAGGATTTATGCCATGTTAGAATTGCAGTGTTAGTTTCTAAACTACTCATTTGTGGGGGCATTGTTGCTGGGAGAAGTGTCTGAAAATGACAGATTCTCTTTACTTCTGGTATGAGATCTCTGTGCCACCCAATCAGAGGCTGACATCACAGCTTCACCCTCTCTGATGCCAGCTTCTAGGTTGGAGTAGGCGAGGCAAGACGGATCAATTTTCTGTCTGATCAAAGGTGTACTTTTAAGGTCCCTACCTAATCTAGGACTTAAAATAGAAATGCATTGTCTCCCTTGCTCATTGTTTTTAAATGTCTGCCTGTGCCATGGATTTCAAACTCTGTGTATTCTTTTTTTTTTTTTTCCTGTTAAAGCCAACAGAAGTTGCAGAGAAAATCCCTGAGAAGAAGCAGCGCCTGGAGGAGGCAGCTACCATCTGCCTGCTGCCACCTTGCATCTCGCCAGCTCCCCCCCAGAAGCCTCCCAGCACTAAAGAGTGAGTTTGCCCTGATTCTGTGATACTTTGCTGGTTTGGACTCCTAAGAAATCTCAAATGAACCCTTGAGGGTAGGGAGTCCTATCCCAAAAGAATGTTAGGTAAGAAACAGGAGTCATTCAGTTGTGTCCTGACAGCTGTCTTTGGCCACCAGCCTAACACAGGTGGGATAAAGGGTGGCCTTCAGGCTGCCAGGTTTGGTGACCACTTGAGCTTTTTAGCAACATTTCTTTACTCCAGCTCAGATAGATGGCCAAAATCGGCCAAAGTGGACTTTTAACACTGAGTGAAGGGTAAAAGGAAGAAAACCAATTTAAAGAACACCTTCCCCTTGAGTCAAATCACCTCCCTCTGGGCAACTTCCAGTTCTGATAGGGATGAAACCATCTCCCTTGGCCTCAGTAGAATGACACAGCAGAGGCTTCCTCTTTGCTATCAAATCATAATGCTGATATGAAGCTTTAGGACCAGAAACTTCATCATGAACTCCACAGGGGCCAAGGGGATGACATGTCTGGGGAGGCCAGGGACATGAGCTGTCTAGGAGTGCCCCCCACCCCCAAGCAGTTCTGTGCTGAGAAAAGCCAGCTCGGGGTGGACAAATTAATGCTGATCAACTGGCAGCTCTTCTCCTGTCTATCTCTTTGCAGAAGGTGCCAGAGTCAGGCAGGAGGCCTCCTTGTCCCCTGCTCACTTATAGGACCCCAGCCTTCCCTACCAAGCATGGTGACAGAGTTCTTCTGTCTTTCACATATCACTTCGCTAGCAATCTAGTGGGTAGCTATTCCCTTCTCCAGGGGATCTTCCCATCCCAGGAATCAAACCCAATTCTTCTGCATTGCAGGCAGATTCTTTATTGTCTGAACCACCAGGGAAGCCCTCCCTAACAAACATGTCAGCTCCTGGAACTATTCTATTTGGATAATTATTGCCATAAATTCATTCAGCATTAGAGGTAACTTCCATCAACGACCAGTTTTGAAACCTATTAGCAGCCCAGAGTGGAGAGGCAATCTGGCTAACTGCTGCTAACAATGGATTTCACAGATTACTGTTTAACATCAGTGACAGGGCATCAGTCTGCCACAGATAAGATGTCAGAAATAAGTTATCAGTTTACATTTGTTTGGATCCTTGTTGTTTAGAGATGAAAAGTAAGAAAAGATCAATGACCACTAGATCTGCTTGATAAACTAAGGAGATTTGGTCATGGGCTGCCAGGACCTGCCAGCCCAGATTTGGTCCCAGGATGCTGTCTCCCTGAGGACCCATAGCTCTTTGTGACATGCATTTGTAAACCCCGGTATAATTTGATATGAAATATCCCTTCAGATACTTGGAGTTATCAGAACTAGACACTCTTCTAGTAGAGCAAGCCATGCCTCTTCTTGAGGAGGTACCACCACTACAAGGATGCCATTTTAAGTTCCTCCTTGGAAAGTAGGAGGGCCCTGGAAGGATGATGTTTAACCATTGGGAAAGAAGCCTATTTCCCTGCTTCTAGGCATGGAGAAGGCAATGGCACCCCACTCCAGCATTCTTACCTGGAAAATCCCATGGACGGAGGAGCCTGGGAGGCTGCAGTCCATGGAGTCGCTAAGGGTTGGACACGACTGAGCAACTTTACTTTCACGTTTCACTTTCATGCATTGGAGAAGGAAATGGCAACCCACTCCAGGGCTCTTGCCTGGAGAATCCCCATGGATGGAGGAGCCGGGCAGGCTATAGCCCATGGGGTGGCCAAGAGTTGGACAGGACTGAGAGACTAAGCACAGCACAGGACAGACATGGTGGTACCTCCTCAGTTCCCGGGCTCTCATCTCTTTGGGCCAGGCCACCAAAAGCCACAAGGAAGAGCTAGAGGGCTGTGGGATATTGCCACACCATCAGTCCCCATTGCAAGCCTGCTTCAATGACCCAGTAATCCCTCACGTTCCCCATCTCATAGAAGAGAGATGATCGAGTATTAGGCAAATGTCTAATAATTCAAATTTGTTCTCATAAAATGGTATTTCACCTCATGGTCCTTATGATCTTTCTGCCTTTGTAGTAGTTAAGGGATCAATGTATACCTAGTATCCTTTACCATTCAGGAAGGACCTGAATTGGGTTCTTATTTGGGAACATTTTGAGAATTGAGGGAGAAGGAGACCAGGATGGGCCTCTTGGAGTTCTTCTCCTTGGAGCCCTCTCTTCGAGTTTTGTGTGCTCCTTGGTGCTTTGTTGATCCTTCAGATTAAATCCTTGGAAATTTCCATGACACAACATTCACTTTTCTCCAGTTGTCAGGCTGATGTGGTATCCTTCAGTAGGTTTAAAACACTCACTTTTCTCAATGAGCGTTTTAAACCTACTGAAGGATACCACATCAGCCTGACAACTGGAGTTTCCCATCATCCACTAGAAGGGCCCTTATGTGTTCCTTTTCCCTTCTTTAAAGTTTGAACCATCATAAGGGCCTCTGAGGCATGAAAGGGGAGACTCTTTTTTTCCTTCTGTCCTCTTCTGGCCTATACAAAAGATGCCCTTATAGTAAGAAGTCATAATGGACAGAATAGTCCCTAGAAAATACCCTCTGGGTATCTTTCACCCAGGAAGTCATTAAAGGCCCCATGGTTACAGGTCGCTATCATACAGAAGGAAAAGGGGCCAGATGACAGGGGCCACTGCACCAAATGTCCTGTACTGTGTATGATGTACTGTGTACAATGGCAGATGGGAAGGCCTAGCCCAATGGCTGTGGCCAGTGGCAGGTTGACTGCCTCTAGGGAACAGCTCTTCCCCTTGCAGCCTCCATCCCCTTCTCCAGCAACTCAGGTAGGCCAGGAGTGGTCAAGTGGTCATAGGTAAGGAACCAGTCACTCCTCTAGGTGCCACAGCAATACTTGACTCCTTTCCATGTAAATTCTCCAAAGTGCAATTCCTCTGTAATGATTATACAGTGTGGTCTGATGTTGCCGGAGCATCTTCGTGGACAAGCATCCTAACCTGTATTTTCACCATTATTTTCATCAGGCTTCGCTATTATGTTAAAATGGTTCTCCATGTCAAAGCAATTTTAAAAATCCACTGACAAATACTTTGTAATTAATTTTAATCCATTAAAGTAATGACAGAAACAGCGAATTTTCTAAAAATTTGGCTGCCTGACAGAAATTGACATAGGACTGTGTTTATGAAACAGAAGACAGAGAAGATGGCAAATATTATTACAACTGGCAAATTTTGGCAACACAGCAGAAGTGGAATGAGGGGATTGCATTGGTGTCTACCATTTCAGGAAATCAAAACACTTGAGTGCTTGTTCATCTTTGATTTGTTGCTTTGAGATATTGTAAATCTATATTTCTAGACACTGAAATTGGCCAAGAGGAAAACATAAATTCTTGTTGACTTAATTTGCTATTGAAAATTGTAGTCAATAATCATGAAAAGTAAATGGCTGCACAGTGCAATATTAGTTGTCTAAGAAAAGATTAAAATTCAAGTAATCTTCATTGATTAGTTGAAGATAGTAACTAAAATAAAAATCCATGGCCCAATTACCATGTTAAGCAGCTAGCATAAGGTTTTAGTTGTTCTGTTTTATTTGAAGTCTCAGTTTATTTGATGATGCCCATTTAATGGGCAGATAAATCAGTTTGAAAGCATGGGAGCACTTCTAGGACCACATATGTTTTGTGGCAAAATGACAAAATATTTTTCAAATGGAGTTTTGTAAAGCAGAGTACATCAGTACTTCAGTATAATAAGTTAAGGTCAGGGGCTCATTATGCCTCCAGTAGAGCAGTTGGAATATACAATTTCCAGTGTGTCCCGGAAGTATTTAGTGCATTATTTATTTCTGGGTAATGTCTAAGTACTATATTTCTTAAGAAAATATCCTTCCACTAATTGTTTATTGTACCATTTATTGTGTGACTGTGCAGTTAAGTCCTAGGGCAGAATAAGTAGGAACCATCCTAAAAAATGATGGGATTAAAGTCTGCATTGGATTTTCCATAAAAATCTAATTAACAGTAATCTTGAAAGGTTGCAAATATCACACTGGGGCAACACTCCATTAGACATTTCCATTTATCATGGAGTTCTGTTTCAAAGACCCGTGCTTATTCTTAGATTTTTGCATTTATCTATGGCTCAATCTCTAGGGAGGGCCACCTCTCTATAGATATCTATGTGTCTACGCATTTTCTATATACTCTTCACCCCAACATATTAACCAACATATTACTTTAGCTAAACGTAGCAGCATCATGCAAAAGATCAGAATAAAGAGAGACAGAGTTTTCTGACACCCTGTACTTTTGTTTACACAGAAATAATTCATCCAGGAGAGCAAATAGAAGAAAAGAAGAAAAGCTGTTTCCTCCTCCACTTTCCCCACTGCCAGAGGACCCTCCACGTCGCAGGAACATAAGCGGCAATAATGGTCCCTTCAGTCGAGACAAAACCATCCCTATGATAGGACAGATCACCTCGACCAAACCTAAGAGGAATGAAGGCAAATTCTGTGCTACTTTCAAAGGGATATCTGTAAACGTAAGCATCATAGAAAGAATCTTCTCATTGTCAGCTAGAAACAAGTTGACCCAGTTTATCTAAGTCAACTTGACCTCATGGAGATGTTGCAGGGGGGTGGGAGGAAGGGGCAGAGAGAAAATATTAATATAAGTGTGTGTGTACACAAATACACAAACTCTGTGTTATTTCCAATCTTGATTCTGTTAACTTCAAATGAATTTTTCATTCCAGTCTTACTTCTCCAAAGAAATGATTATTCAGAGGTTCAGGGCTTCAGACCTATCTTTTGTTGCAATCCCTTCAGATCTTGGGGGTGGGAGACACTTCTACAATACTGACCACAGCACGTGGGAAGCACAGACTCTTTAGTGAAAGTGAAAGACCAAATGGATGGAATTGCTCAAGGTGAGGGAACTGGTGCTTGAACTCCAAGTTAACGTCTTTCCACACCCACTTTGGCTGATATGAGTTGTGTTTTAAAATAGTGACTCAGAAGAATGGAGTTTAAAAGCTGAATCTGTGGCTAAAATCACACAATTGTGGTTCTCTAAGCCTGACTAAAGGATTATCCTGTCCTTTGGATTTTCTGCACTGCTGCCTGATTACCATAAATGATTGAGAATTTGTATCACTTTTCATATCCATACACAATGTCTTTTTATCTGCCCCAGGTATATGTACATGAACCATGGAAACTGTGAGTGATAGTGTCACTAGTGAATATTAATGGCAAATCTTTCTGCCTTTTCGTGTAGATGCATGTATATGCAAATACATATGCACTTGATCCTTTAGTTCAGTTCAGTTGCTCAGTCATGTCTGACTCTTTGAGACCCCATGGACTGCAGCACACCAGGTCTCCCTGTCCATCACCTCCCGGAGTTTACTCAAACTCACGTCCATTGAGTCGATGATACCATCCAATCATCTCATCCTCTGTCTTCCCCTTCTCCTCTTGCCTTCAATCTTTCCCAGCATCAGGGTCTTTTCCAGTGAGTCAGCTCTTTGCATCAGGTGGCCAGAGTATTGTAGTTTCAGCTTCAACATCAGTCCTTCCAATGAACATTCAGGACTGATTGCCTTTAGGATGGATTTGTTGGATCTCCTTGCAGTTCAAGATCCTTTAAATGTAATGTAAAAAGCAAACGAGTGAAAATCAATGAGTTTTCAAATGTCTACAACCAATCCAGTAGCCCCTGAACCAAAAGCACCCATTTAACACTTCATGGAAAGCCATGAGGCCTCTGAACTTTAAGGACCACAATTTATGGTCCTCCATCATCTGAGATAACTAGATAACATACATACCTAGGTAAATAATATTGGTGATATAAAGAAATGGCTCTATCATAAAGTTGTCATTTTCCAAATGAAATTTGTATGCGTGTGTGCCCAGATTATATTTTCATTCACATTTAAAGATGCTAAGTTACAGTGTTAGGAATGAAGCCATGTATTCTAAGCGATAATTACAAAATCAGTCCTATTTTTCATACTGAATATAATTAATGTGATAAACTTCAACTGAGGTTTTTTATACTGCAACATTTTGGAGGACACATACCCTACCTATCTAGGCAGTTCTCTTCACATAGCGCCTAGTACATGGTCACAAATAATCAGGTGCTTAATATGGATGTTCTTATGACAATGGTAATAAGAGGATCTGCAAAGGCATTTCTGAGAGCTCTCAAAACTACTGGGAAAATCTGATAAATATGATTACATTTGCACCTAGAAAACCTAGAAATGGATCATTTTCTTAAGAAAATCACTAAAATTTCCCATGATACGACTGAGTACTCCTTACCTCCTCTTTGGCCATGGCCTGCAATCTGAGAGACTGTAGAAATTAAGAGACTTGCTTGAAACATAGTGCTAACACTGCAACAAATCTGTTCTTTGACCTTGAGCAAATTATGACACCTCTCTGAGTCCATGAAATGAGTAGATTTGACTAGGTGATCTATACAGCTTCTTCCAGTTCCAAAAGTGTGTTCCATTTTGCACTCTTAGAGTCTTCTCTGTTCCATGTAACCATGAAGTCCTGTTTATTGACTCAGTGGATGGGTGAGGGTCAACAGAGGATGTATATATGACTTAGATGATTGTGGCTGAACGCAGTCATTTCCAGTCAGACATGCCAGGACTGACATCAGTGCTATATGTGTGGTATACGTGGTGTTTCAAGGTTCTTGTCACCTGTCTTGGTCATAGAAACACGTGGCTGTCTCTTTGGGGCTGGCCTGCTGTTTCATCTTGGCCATCGGGTATTGGCAATAGAAGTGTAAAGCTGGCTTAGGAGTTCAGAAAGCTCTGAGTTTTTGTGTGTTTGGGTTGAATAAAATCTGTGATGGACGTGAAACAATTTTCTCCATATCCATCATAACCACTTTTAAATGTGCAGTCTTTCAGCACAGTTATCATAATGAGCCCATCACGGTGGGAATTTTTGATAATTTGGAGATTTGGGATGAAGTGGAAAAGATGAGACTTTCATGGATATAAGAAATGTTCACATTTGACTTTTAGCTGAAAAGTGACACTTGTGATTAAGGCAGGCAGGCCTGCAGTCAGCAAATCATTGAGCACACTGGGCGGTGGGGTGATGGGACAGGGTGGGGGGTGTTACAAATCAGAGCTGGCTCCAGTGCTGGAAGGGCTCTCACCCTAAGGTGAACAATGAGACATGCTCGATAAACTTGGATACAAAATAGCTGCTGATTGGTGTCTCAGGGGAGGCTTGAGACACACCTCTCCCATCTCCATGTATGTACTGTGGTGTCCGACTCTTTATGACCTCAGGGACTGTAGCCCACCAGGAGCCTGTGTCCATGGGATTTCCCAGGCAAGAATACTGAAGTGGGTTGATATTTCCTTCTTCAGAAGGACCCATCTTTAAAGGGACAAGAAAGGTTTAAAGCACTTCCAGCCATAGACATAGGCAGTTTTCCTGAGAAGGCATTTGTTGATCTGGGTTGAGCTGAGAGTATTAAGAGAGATAAGGAGGGTTTAGAAATGAAGGGAAGTGGTTAAACAGAGTGTGGTCTAAATTCACAGTGGAATCTTATCCAGTCTTAAAAGGAAGGAAATTCTGCCATGTGCTACAACCTTGAACTTTGAGGATGTCATGCTAGATGAAATCAGCCAGTCACAGACAAAGAATGTATGATTCCATTTGTACGTGGTAACTCAAGGAGTCAGATTTTCAAAGACAGAAATTATAAGGGTGATTGCCAGGGGCTGGGGAGATGGGGATGGAGAGTTATGGTCTAATGGGCACAAAGTTACAGCTTTGCAACTTCAGAGTCCTGGAGATTGGTTGGAGGACAATGTAAATGTGCTTAACGCCACTGAACTGGATATTTTAAAATGGTTGAGATGGTAGATTGGATATTATGTGTATTTTACCTCTATTTTAAAAATGAAAAATACAATACATTATAGCAAGGTGAAAGAAAGTAATGAGGAGGAGGCTTTTTCAACCCTAAGTCTTCAAAGGAACCAAAGCAGGATAGTGGAGAAATCACGATGAGTTCAGTGTGGTGACAGGTTCGTGAAAGGGAACTGGGAAGGGTGAAGCCAGGTCTGAAGCCACGAGAGCCTACCCTTTGAGGTGTCAGAGGAGGAAGGGACAGATGTAAGAGTCACTGGAGAGAGGGAGTGAATAGGACTTTGTAATGGATTGGGTGAGGGTAATGGAGAGGGAGAAATATGAGATGAAATCGAGCAGTGGTTTTCAAAAAGAGTTTCAGGAGCATGATCATGTTTTGAATTAATTTACAGAACTTCAATATCTAAATATGATTAAAGCAGAGCAGCTCAGATGGAAGGCATGGTGGGAAGAACCCTGGTTTATTTGTTCATGGCCCAGGGATGACTGGTTTGCTGTACTATCTGGCATTTTGCAGAGTAACAAGAGGAAGTTTCTGGGCTGGCTTTCTTATCAAAAATATGCACATCAGAGGGATTATCTTTCTCTCCCCTTCTCCCTCTCTCTATCCTTCCCTCCCTTTCCTATTCGCCACCCACCCCCCCCCCTCCACATATCCCCTGCTGGATCTAGACGTTTGCTAATGGCTTTCTTACTGGGATGATGGAGCTATATGGTCACAGCATGTGACTGGCTTAGTGTTTGGTGTCATCATAGAACAAAAGCTGGTGACTGCCAGAGTTCATGACATATACCAGGATCACCTGTGTATCCTCAAGCCATGTGCATTGTTTTCTTTTCTCTCGCCTTGTTTCCTAGGGTGTTTGACATGCAAAGCATTTATGAAAAGATGCTCTAAAAATCTGAACCTAATGGAAACTCTTTGTCCTCCTTTTTCCCAGGAGGGAGACACTCCAAAAAAGGCAGCCCCTGCCACAGTCACCAACACTGCTATCGCCTCTGCCACTGCTACTGCCATTGTCACAGCCACTGCCACGGCCACTACCACAACCACTACCACTACCATTTCCACCATCACCTCCGCCATCACTACTGGCCTCATGGATAGCAGTCACCTGGAGATGACATCGTGGGCAGCCCTGCCCCTTCTGTCCACCAGCACCACCAATGTCCGGAGACCCAAGCTCACTTTTGATGACTCGTATGTTGTCCCCAGATTCTTTGGACCCAGTTGGGGAGCTGCGAATGGGGGTGGGGGCAGTATGGCTTTTCAAGCACCATGCATATGTCACCTGAAATAAGACCTTAGCCGCAGCTATGCAGCTCCTATAGCCTTAAAAGTATATTCCTCCTTCTCACATACATCTTTATCCCCACCTAGAAATGTCATTGGCTGATTTTAAACATGGAGCTCTGTTACTGTTTCCAAAGGCAGGTGCTGAATCCTAGGTTGCTTGGTCCTCCTTGCTTACCCATGTCCTCAGGTAGAACTGTGTGCCAACAAAGAGAATTACAGCTAGATTCTGTTGGATCTGTTTGGGCAACTTGAGTGGTTGGGGTTGGAGGATGTGAATATTTATCCTAATGGGCCATTAGGAACCAATCTCATTCACTGGATTATTTCAAGCTTGGTTATTATATGCATGACAAGCATCCATCAGCCCTGTTCAAGGCATTGTATAGGAATGGATTTATAGCCCCCCAAAGTATGACCACTCAGTCTTTTAATGAAAAGATGAAACATTGCTTTCTGAATGAGCTCATTTCATTTGTTTAGGGTTCACAATGCTGATTATTACATGCAAGAGGCTAAGAAGCTGAAGCACAAAGCTGATGCACTGGTAGGTTTCCTTATTGCTGCTCCAACATAGGGAGTTTGGAGCTGGTTAATTCCTTAGCACCGCAAGTCCCCAAGTCCTTGGTGCCACATTGCCCTGCCATTCTTGCTTTTTCCACTCTTCTTCCCCTTGTTCCAACTTCAGAGGTGCTGAGGCTTATGCTACCTTTCAATTGAATTTGAAATGACTTTTGAAACTGCCCTGGAGAAGGTGGGTGCTCCCATGGTTTCTGATGAACTCCAAACTGGTGTAGGCAGGGAGAGAGTTGCTGAGAGCTGGTTAAGTGCCTCAAACATTGGCTTTGGGAAACTCATGTCTGTAGAAAAAACTTGACTGCTTGCTGCGTTAGCTAACCTAGGGCCCTGCACAGAGAAAGTATGTTCTGGATATCCCAGGACACTTGGCCCAGCTGCCTCCAACGGTGGTGGGTACCTAGACCAGGAGAGACCTGGCACAGAGAGCTATTTGATTGACTAAGCTACCTAACAGAGGGTCTCAATCGTGTGTGTTACAGTCACTTGGGGAGCTTTAAAATAGCCCTCATGCTCAGGCTACACCCCAGAGAAATGGAATCAGAATTTCTGAGACTGGGACCGATGTGGGTGTCAAAACTCCCAGGTGATTCCCAAATGCAGCCAACGTTGAGAACCACTGCCCTAGAGAAGACCCTGAATTCAGAATCCCCACCTTTGACTAAAGCCCTGCATAATTTGAGGTGTCAGTTCAACTCCACTGGGTTAAAAAAAATCATATCCTCCATCATTGCATTGTGTCCAGCCAAGACTTAGCTGCCCCATGCTGCTTGCCTCTGGGAGGGCTATAATGAAGGACCGCAATGGTCTCTGCACCATCACTTGTGAGTGGCCACCATCCACTGCCCTCTCAAGGGCCACAGTATATAAGGAGATAGTTGGTATATCTTTAGTATTAAAATTTCAATGGGATGTGTGAAAAAAAAGCCTAAAAAAACTCACTGAGTGGGAGGGGAGGGAGGAGGGAATGATAATGGGGGGAGATTGAGAAATACTCATTTAGAGGAAGATGTCTTTGCCAGGCTAACGTCTATACCAGAGTTAGACACTTCTTCGGAGTTCAAGCCCCTCAGTTATAAATAAGGAAACTGAGGCCCAGAAGAGGGTATGACTCAGCCACTCATTGGCACTATGGCCCATGTAGTCCTCTCTCTGGACTTCAGTTTTTCCTTTTGGAAAAAGAGAGATTTAGACCAGGTGGTTTTTAAGGATCCTTCTAGCTATGGGTTTGTGAATGAAAAGTCAGTTTTAAAAATCAGAATGTAGATTTCCTGATTTCCAGATTTCCTGTAGATTTCCTTAATTTCCTCAGGGGAGAGCCAATCAGAGTTGGATGACCCAAGGAAGTTATCTTGTAAGGCAAGAGAAGAAGGAGATAATTTGCATATATACACAAAGGTTTTCATAAAATCAGTTTGAATTGGGCTGAAACTGATGTTTTTCCACAACAGCTTACAGAAAGGAAAGCACCAAATTCCTGCAGTACATAAAAGGGGAAGAACATTTATTGTAAAGAGAGTCATTTACAACAAGAGATTCTGCAAGACTTGTAACTCATCATTTTATAGTTGTACTTAATCCTTTGCTAGAGACAGCTACTCTGCTGTTTTGAGAATTGAAACCTTCACAGTTGCATAGAAAATATTTTGATAAAAGGTATATAAGAAAATTAAAATAGCTCAACCTGCATTCTATTGGTTCTTTCACATAAAATTCCATATTAGTGAAATTCTTCCATCCAGCTACCAAAAATTGAAAATGTTAAATACTGTTATAAAATACTCACTATAAAAATGTCATATATAATATTCATTACACATAAAAAAGAAATCAGTATGTCTAAGTCAGTTTAATTGTGACCATTATCAGGGCTAAAACCTTTTACAATAAAATTTTACTAAACTAAAATATTTAGTAGTGCTATATTTGGGAGCTTTTTGACACACTATTTCAGACCATCATTTACAATGAAAGTGATGTGGTTATTGTCACCAGTCACGCTGCAGCTTCCCATTTTTCATGACAATAGCATCCATTTGTTACTCTTCTCCTGGGGGTGGGGTTGACATGCTATGCTAGAGTTCCAAGCGAAGACTAGATGCGTTAATTGTCCAGGAAGCTTGTAAAAAGTGGAGTTTCACTGCAAACTCTGTCTAGACCAGCGATCCACAACCTTTTTGGCACCAGGGACCAGTTTCCTGGGAGACAATTTTTGCATGGACTGGAATAGGGGTGATGGTTTCAGGATGATTCAGGCACATTGCATTGATTGTGCACTTTATGTCTATTACTGTTACATCAGCTCCACCTCAGATCATCAGGCATTAGATCCTGGAGGTTGGGGATCCCTGTTCTAAGGACATTACGATGACCAGTCTAGTAACTGTGGTCAATAGAAACTAGTCGAGGCAGTGATTTGAATTCTGCTCCACCAAAAATATAACAAAAATAGGAATACCACAAAGATGATACCTTGGCTACAGTTTTCTCATCTTACTCAGCCTCCGTGCCATGACAATAGAACCTGAAATAAGTTACATCTTTGTCAAGACAAATTCCTAATTGCCCCCACCATATCTCAACCTTGGCACTATTGGGCCAGGCACTTCTCCATAGTGGGAGCTGTCCTGGGCATTGCAGATGTTTAGCAGCATCTCCAGCCTCTGTCCACTAGATGCCCTCCCCCATCACTAGTGGGGACAACCAAAGAGGTTTCCAGACATTGCCAAATGTTCCCTGGGGGAGGGGTGTGAAGTTGCCCTGGGTTGAGCACCACTGCTTTCGATGAAGAGAGGAGGAACTGTCATGTTGATGAGTCTTCTTCCTGTTACAGTTCGAGAAATTTGGCAAAGCCGTGAATTACGCGGACGCAGCCCTGTCCTTCACTGAATGTGGCAACGCGATGGAGAGAGACCCTCTGGAAGCCAAGTCTCCATACACCATGTACTCCGAGACTGTGGAACTCCTCAGGTTCATACTTTTCTGCTGCCTTCTTCCTAAGCTCTCTCTCCACTCATAATTAGAAGCTACCGTGTTTTTGAAAAATATCTTTTCCACCTAGTGATGATTCATCCAAGGCACCTTCTTCTCAGAAGTCATCATAATTAGTTCTTGCCATTTGATTCATGTCATGGAAAACTTATAACTGATGGACACTGCTTTTTATCAGTTATCCCCTTCAGAGGTTCTAATGTGAATCTTATAATTTGCGATATTCATAAAATGGAAAGGTAGTGGGTGGAAATAAAGGATCATCATTTCATGGTGTCGAGCGGGCCCTTCCTTGTCTTTTCAAAGCACAGTTTCATAATTCACAGAAAGCAGTCCTATTGGGATTTCTGTTATAAATCATGTTTTCTAAGAATTTCTGCCTCTGTTATTAAAAAGAGAGGGGCACTGTTCCAACATTAGGGTGGAGTAGACTTTCCACGCATCTAGAATTTGAGGGATAGTCAAGGTGGTAGGTAGCAGGGGACCCTAGAAGAGGCTGACACTGGGGAAGGGTGTATTAACAGCACAGATTATTGGTTTCATTTGCATTTTGAATGAAATTTTCTGGACTTTTGGTCTTGGTGCAGTGGAGTTTGTGGGTAATCAAAAAATTCCTGTAAGAAGGGAAAGGAGAAGAAATGATTTGTATTTGAGTGCCTTCCTGTAATCTGCAGGTATTTGTGAAAAGAATTTCATCCACCTCTGAATAGTGGATAAGCACTCACCCTCATTTGCTGGATGGATGACATCATGGTTTTTGACTGAGCGAGCAGTTCTTCATCTGATAGGCCCTTATATCCCAGGCACCTCTGGCTCGATTAACTGATAATGCCAGGCCTGCTTTTTATTGTGTTCTTGCATCTGCAATAAACCGTTACAAATCTGAAGACACTTGTACCTAAACCTTCAGACAGGCATCAGACTGAAGCATGCATATTTTCTGAGGAAAGCACTTGAAAAGATCAAAAGAATGAGAACCATTATAAAGAAGATGAAGAAAAAAAAAACTATGATTACATAGACTCATAAGATTTAGCTAAAGTCACTGAAGTAGGGAAAGGATGAGGAAAGTTCCAGCCTTGCTCTGCCAGGCCAGACAGCCATCTTTGGTTTTCACTGCTCTGACAAGCATATAAAGTATCTCTCAGACTTACTTTATGTGAAAGCTGCCACTGCCATTTGTAGCTTTTAAGGGGAAATTGATTTCTCAGTGTCTATCCAAGGATGCCTGCAATTTTCAAAGATGTACAAGATAAAAATCCTGGCAAAAAATGAGGAATCAAAATGGAGGGGAAACTTTAATGAATAAACAAGGAGGAAAGCTTCACCTTCTATTCATCCCCAAATGCAATTTAAGGCACTTTTAAATTGACAAGGAAATGTAAAAATGTTGGCACAGGCTTCCCTTGTAGCTCAGTTGGTAAAAGAATCTGCCTGCAATGTAGGAGTCCTGGGTTCGATTCCTGGGTTGGGAAGATCCCGTGAAGAAGGGCATGGCAACCCACTCCAGTATTCTTGCCTGGAGAATCCCAGGGACAGAGGAGCCCGGTGGGCTACAGTCCATGGGGTCACAAGAGTTGGGCACGACTTAACCACTAAGCCACAGTGTTAGCACACACACAAAATTATGGTGAACTGGACCTCTTCCATGCTGATGGGGAGAATGGAAATTGATCCTTGTAAATTGAGGGCAATTTGGCATCATGTAGGAAAACCTATACAAGTGAGCATTCATATCTTGAAGCCACTAATTCTAGAAATCTGAACTTCATGTACTGAAGAAAAGAATTGTAAGAGGAGAATGAGTTATACATAGAGTGTTCAGTTTGGCCTATGTTATAGCACCCAATTTGAAGCAAAGCAAATCATCAATAACAGAAGGGTAATTAACTACATCACAGTACTCTCAACAGAATAATTTGCAGCCATTGAAATGCAACAGTGATGGAGACCATGTAACTGCACGAAAATGTTTATAATATGAATTATAGACTCAATACATTTCTGACCACAAAAAGCATGTTTCTGCATGTGGATCAACTTGGAAGGGAAAAAAGATCATAACTGAAATTGAGGGTGAAGTTATGGGTGGTGTATACACACACACACACACACACACACATATATATATACACACAGTCACACATATTCTTCTTACACATATTTTTCTTACACATGCACTCAGAATAGAAAAGCAAAACCTCACATTTCATTTTTGGTAAAAATACAATGTGAATCACTGAGTAATATTTATTTCCTTTAGAAAACACTTCTTTGCCCTTTATTATTTACAAATTCTTTTCTTTTTCTCTAAGTAGTTTTTTTCCCATGATATGATAGTTTACTCCCCCCATAGGGTATATTTTCAGTGGAACCTGGTAAAACTTGATGGATAGTTTAGAGATATTCACTTTAAAGTCAGTCTTTTGAAACTATCTTTTCAGATCATTGTAGATTCACATGCAGTTGTAAGAAATGATAGAGAAAGTTCACATGTCCCTCTCCCCCCATCTCCTCCCATGGTACTATCTAGCATAGCTCTAGTCCAAGATCACGGAGGACACAGACATTGGTACAGTCCATCCACCTTGCTCAGATGTCATCAGGCCTTTTTTCCCCAAATTTCACCAGCTCTGTGTGCAATCCTTTATGTACCCCTTCTATATATAGAATTATATATTTTCTGCCTAGTGTATGTGTATGTATTTGTTTCTGCCTAGTGTATGTGTTTTATTTGGAGAGAAATTTCAGTTGGGAATAAAATGAACTAAGGCAACTAAGTCTTCTTGCCCATGTAAGCAATTGGAACTCCACTGTCAAGGCATTTCAACAGTGGCTGCAATTAGAGGGTGACTGTAATAAGAACATAGTTTTTAGTAGCACGTTTTATGTTGAAGAGATTTTTATTATACTCTCCTTAATGGTAGAGCACCCTATGTTTTTCAGTGAAGTGATTTTGGTTGCTCCGAGCCTTGGGAATCTTCAGTAGAAATATACTTGTGAAAACAAGTGGGGTATCACAATGACTGAAGTGATCCAGCTGTCAAACACAGATTTATGACATCATAAAAACCTTTTTTGCTTAATATGGCAACAACAGGAGGGGCCCACAGCAAGTGCCTGAGTCCTTTTGTCAGAAAATGTTCATTGGACAGAACTGGGGCAGTAATAGGGAGAGCAGGGCAATAGGGGGCATGGTGTTCCGGGGAGGCTGCTGAAAATGTGGGCTCACCAATGCCTTGTCATGATGGAGAGCTAGTCCAGGCTGCCTGAACATCTTCAGCTTCCTTCTGCAACAGTGAACTCTGCTACTTATTCCACCACGAGTTCCTGTGAAATTGCATTAAAGCTCAGACAATGATTTTATGCAATGAATTGATTTTCAAGAGTCTAAATGCCCAGAATGGAATGTGCTCAGCTCAAAGAACGAAAATGGGAACTACTCAACCTTTGGTTGCCCTGGTGTGGAACGGTAACTATTAAAGAGAATGGAAAGACAAAATATGCAAGCACCATAAATTAGGGGTGCTCAGACCTTCACCTGCTGTGAAATTGACCGCCCTTAAAAAAAAAAAAAAAAAAAAAACCTTCCTACAGGAATATATTCCACACCTGAGCCATTAGAAAAGCCCTTTATAACCGTGTTGGAGGCCTCCCCATGCTCATGTCAGACATCATTGTGTGATTGTTTACCTCAGGTGTCAAAAACTCAACTGAGACTGACATTTGTGTCCACCTCTCATGGAAAGCCAATAATGTTGTTTAGCTGGAGTATTCTTAGAAACAGTATTTTTCCAGCATTTATACACAGGTGAAACCCACAGTAATTCCACAGCACTGTTCTAGAACATGGGCTCTAAATATAACTGGCTTCTCCGGAGCAAGCTTCCATTGATCACACCAGTGCTATTGTGACATTTTGTGCATGTTTTCAGGAAAGCACACTTTTGCCCACATGGCCTTCTCAGTCCTCCTGCCAGAGTCAATGTGGCCCTAGCTCATTCGAGTAATGACAACGCCAATGGTGTTGGGGCTTTCTGAAGGGTCAGACAGATTACATTTGAGCTTGTCCTTTCTCTTCAAAGGTATGCCATGAGGCTGAAGAATTTTGCAAGCCCCCTGGCTTCAGATGGGGACAAAAAGCTGGCCGTACTATGGTAAGTCTCATGGAGGTGACCAGGAAATAGCTGAAATGTCACAAAAAGATTTTAAAACTCAACTTAAGCTGCTTAAGTCATTATTCTTGTTTTCCACTAAACTCTAAAAAATTAAGTAATGGATTTCTTCAGTTGCTGACTAAACATCTACTCTGCACATTTATACTCTTATCAAGATGGAATTTTAATGCTTATCCTTTCTTTTTAAAAAAATAAAGCCACATATATTTATTTTCTTGCAGTTCTGAAGGTCAGAAGTCTGAAGTGTGTTTCACTAGGCTAAAATCATGGCATCAACATGGCTGCTTTCCTCCCAGAGGCTCTAGGGAGAATCCACTTCTGCCTTTTCCAGCTTCTAGAGGAGGTCTGCATTCCTGGGCTTAGGGCCTCTTCCTCCATCAAGAAGTCAGCAATGTATCTTAACATATCTCCCTGACTTTGACCTTCTGCCTCCTTTTTCAATCTTTTGTGAACTCTCTTTTTCTTTTTTTTCAAATGTTACTGAAATATAATTGATGTACACTGGTGTGCTAATTTTTAGTGTACAGGAAAGTGACAGTTCAGTTCAGTTCCATAGCTCAGTTGTGTCCGACTCTTTGTGACCCCATGGACTGCAGCATGCCAGGCTTCCTTGTCCAACACCAACTTCCAGAGCTTGTTCAAACTCATGTCCATCGAGTCAGTGATGCCATCCAACCATCTCATCCTCTGTCATCCCCTTCTCATCCTGCCTTCAATCTTTCCTAGCATCGGGGTCTTTCTTTCGCAGTCAGTTCTTCGGATCAGGTGGCCAAAGTTTTGGAGTTTCAACTTCAGCATCAGTCCTTCCAATGAATATTCAGGACTGATTTCCTTTAGGATTGACGGGTTTGAGTCCTTGCAGTCTAAGGGACTCTCAAGAGTCTTCTCCAACACCACAGTTCAAAAGCATCAATTCTCCAGCACTCAACTTTCTTTATGGTCTAACTCTTACATCAATATATAGCTACTGGAAAAAACATAGTTTGACTAAATGGACCTTTGTCAACAAAGTAATTTCTCTGCTTTTTAATATGCTGTCTAGGTTTGTCTTAGCTTTTCTTCCAAGGAGCAAGTGTCTTTAATTTCATGACTGCAGTCACCATCTGCAGTGACTTTGGAGCCCAAGCCAATAAAGTATCTCACTGTTTTCATTGTTTCCCCATCTATTTGCCATGAAGTGATGGGACTGGATGCCATGATCTTCGTTTTCTGAATGTTGAGTTTTAAGCCAACTTTTTCACTCTCCTCTTTCACTTTCATCAAGAGGCTCTTTAGTTCCTCTTCACTTTCTGCCCTAAGGGTGGTGTCATCTGTGTATCTGAGGTTATTGATATTTCTCCTGCAATCTTGATTCCAGCTTGTGTGACTCAGTTATACATATATATTCTCTTTCATATTCTTTTCCATTATGGCTTATGGTTTATCACACGATGTTGAATATAGTTCCCTGTACTATGCTTATTCCTTGTTTTTAAAAATTTTTCTTTTTTTCACTTATGTTCCTCAGTAACCATAGGAGAGGAGCTGTAGATGGGAGTTGTATTTTAATGAATAGGTCTGAAGAAGTGTTGGCATTAATGTGCTTCTTTCCTCATCATCACAGCTACCGATGCCTTTCACTTCTCTACCTGAGGATGTTCAAACTGAAGAAGGACCACGCCATGAAGTACTCCAGATCACTGATGGAATATTTTAAGGTAATCCTTATTTTTTGTAATTTATAGGTCCTGGGTGATTAAATCACTAATGAGACATGGCAGGCATGTTATGAAATGTCACAGTTGTCACTACCGAAAGCTGAACTTTCTGCATCATGGCCGGCCATGGCCATCTCACCTCTCCTTTGGAGCTCAGCAGAGAGCTTGGGTTTGATCCAGTTCCACGGAGAGAAGGTACCATAGTTCAATCCCCTGATGATGCTCTGGAGTGAACAAGTGACCCTAGGCACCTTCCTGGGTCCAGTCAGGATGGTGATCCCTTCTGCCTGCACTGTGGACTGCCTGCAGAACATGGCTCATGTTACATGAGATGCCAGCCTAGAAATTTCTCAGCAGTGAGAGAAGTCACCACAGCCACCCTGGGCTCTGAGGGCACAGCCACACCCCCAGGGGCCCTTTGGCCATGGGGAGTGTTGAAGATAGTGGTTGCAGTTGAAGACAACTGATAACTTTGGCTGTCAAAATAAACCAACAATAAATAAACAAACTCATCCTCTAGGGAGCTGGTATTTTTGATTTGCAAGAAAAATGAAATATTTGAACCACAAGATGCAATGCCAAGATGTGGGAACGAGCCCAGATAAAAACGGCAAGCCTGGAGCTGGGCCTGGCAACCGTGCCGGGTGTCATTGGCTGAGGCTCCATGGACCTTCGCTGCTCTCTTCCACCCGTCAATGCTGATCATGTGTTAGAGTTGAGGGCTCAAGGTTGCTGTTGGGGAGGTCTTGAAAGAAAAGGATAATTTTATTTATTTAGTCTTATTATGCTTTGCCAAGTGCGTCAGCTGACATGGCTCAGTTGCATCAAAGCAGTTGTTTGAAATGAATCAAATCCTGACCTTACCTCAGACATTCAAAGCCAGTGGGTAGGGGTGCACAATTATGTGAGAATGCCCATTCAGTTGGGAAAAGGGCAGCTCTCATGTGGTGTGGCCATGATAAAGCTAGTGCTTGTGAATGCAGTCAAATGCAGCAGCTGCCCATGGCCATGTGTCTACAAGTCTCCACCTGGGCTCTGCAAGGTGTCTTGATGCTGGTGGTCTGGTACAGGTCCTAAGAATGGGCATTTTGAACAAGTCCCTGGGCGATAATGATGCTGGTCCTGTGGGGCACTCTGAGCCACAGCCCTAGCCTCCATTCTCTGCGGCCTGTCCTGCAGTTTTCAGTGCACTGCAAAATACCAAACAGATGTTAAGTAACTCACTCCTCTGGCAGAGCATTGAGCTTCTTTGAGGTTCAAAACAGGAAGCTCCCACCTGCTGAGGTCATTATAACCAGCTGATTGTTGTTCTAGTGTGGTGGTGCTGAGTATCGGGATTTCCCATGCTCCACAAGTGTACAGCCATGAAAACAAAGGAGGCCCATTCTTTTCTTAAAATGGATTGTGTTGAAGTGTAGTTGATATACAGTGTTGTGTTAATTTCTACTGCACAGCAAAGTGATTCAGTTATACACATATATACATTTTTTTTCATGTTCTCTTTCCATTCTGGTTTATAGGAGGATATTGAATATAGTTTCCTGTGCTAAACAGTAGGACCTTGTTGTTTATCCATCCTATTTATAATAGTTTACCTCTGCTAATCCCAAACTCTTATTCCTTCTCTTCCCCAACTCCCTCCCCCTTGACAACCACAAATCTATTCTCTATGTCTGTGAGTCTATTTCTAGTCCTTAGATATGTTCATTTGTGTCATTTTACATTCCACATATAAGAGATGTGATATGGTGTTTGTTTTTCTCTTTCTGACTGACTTAGTATGATGTTGATCCCTAGGTCCATCCATGTTGCTGCCAATGGCTGATTCATAATTTATTGTATATATGTACCACATCTTCTTTATTCATTCCTCTGTCAATGAACATTTAGGTGTGCTTCCATGTCTTCACTACTGCAAATAGTGCTGCTGTGAATATAGGGATGCATGTATCTTTTCAAATTAGATGTTTTTTCTGACATATGCCCCAAAATGGGATTTCTGGATCACATGGCCATTCTATTCTTAGTTTTTTTGAGGTACCTCCATACTGTTCTCCATAGTGGCTTCACCAATTTACATTTCCACCAGTGGTGTAGGAGGGTTTCCTTTTCAAGGAGGCCCATTCTTTAAACCGGCCCATCAGAGGGAAAAGAATGTTTAGTATTCCACGGCAGGGCAGTGCTGGGCCGGTTACACTGCTCAACAGGGAAAACCATCAGTCATGAGGATATGCATGTGATGATAGCAAATCCAGGTGATATGCAGACACACACACAAAGGCTTCTTGGTTCTGGCCAGTTCCTGGGATTTTAGAAATGACAAGCCAATGTGCATCCCAGGGAAAAAGTTTGCAACTGGAGCTAAAGGTGAAAAGCTTGTCTATACTCTGAAGAGCTTGTTTTGCAGAATAAATTTCAGATGAGGATAATTAAACCACTTCTTGGAGAACTGAGTCTGATTTCACTGGGCCTTTTAGTATATAAGATCTTTCATCAAGTGACTTTCATGGTCCTGATTGGAGCCCACTAATTATCCTAACCAGCTATTTTCATCGAGTGTGCGTCGTGGTGTGCTGACGTGCACATACATCCCAGCTCTGCTAACGAAACAGGAGGCATCCCAAAATGCTGCAATCAATATTAATGTACTCTAAATCACACTTCCATCTGTTTCTGAATTAATAAAACACAAAATAGATGTCCTCATTTCCCTCTCTGTTTCTCTCTTTTAGCAAAATGCTTCAAAAGTCGCTCAGATACCATCTCCATGGGTAGGCAATGGAAAGTAAGTATCTTCTGAAAATTGCTTTTTCACGAAAATTAGTGATTGAATAGACCCCAAATATTTGGTATTGATAAGCTGGACACAAAGGTTAATTCTGAGATTACAGTAATTTGGGTGCACACAGAATTCTAGTCTGGTTTCCACTAATGGCAGGGCAGAAAAGTTTAACAAGATGTGATCCCAAATTTCTTTCACTATTTGATCTTTAAGCCAAATGACGGCCATAAAAATATCAGTTAATGAGATGGCAAGCACCATGCCATTTCAGGGAGGCAGGGTAGAGTTACCTCCACTGCAGTGATTTTTCAATGATTCACTCAGTAATGAAAGACCAATGAAATATTCATTGATATATGGTAAGTGCTTTAATAAAACCAAAGGCATAATAGTGCTGAAAATGTGAAGGCACTTCATCAGCCAATTATCTGAGCCTTCATGATGATTTTTATATTAATACTAAAATACCCTGCCCTAAAATATAAAAGCATCTACTATACTGCTGGCCTGAGGCTCAATGAACTCACCCACTCCACAGCTGTCCTTAGAGCCATATTTGCTTGGAGCAGCTCAGTCCTCCAGCAGCAGGTTGGGAGCTGGTAAACCAGTTGACCCAGGCCCAAGGCTGCCCTCAATTCCCAGGATGAAACTAAGAGAGCCCCTTCTCTCCGCAATGAAAGGCCAGACCCAATGACATTGGAGCCTCCTCTGAAGAGAGGTTCCTTTTCAGAGGGCAATTCAGAATCCTAGTTCTGTCTCAGCCCTGAGCTAGCTTTGTGCCCACACTTACCTGCCTGAGCATTCGTTTCTCCTCTCAGTCCAATACCTCTCTGACCACTGCAAGCCCACTTCCCACCAGTAGATGTATTCTTTTGAAAAGAGCTGCTTTCCCCCCCCCCCTTTTCACCACTTCAACATTCTTATGTCTCTGATCAAAACACTTTCTTGAACAGTGAAATAGTCCCCTTTGCCGCTTTATAAATACCTACAAAGCACACTCCCAAAGGAGTGAGACTGTGAGCTCTAAGATCTTAAAAAACATTCAGAATGCGGAGACAGATCCATTAAAAACTATGCGCCAACTCAATTACTGTATTGAAAGGAAGTACCGTTTAAATTGTTGAATTAGGTCTCTCTCTTATATTGATGGACAAAAGCGAGACCACAGGCCCAGAGAAAGCTGTTTTCTCTGAACACGGAGTAAAGCAAGGGCAAATTCAGGTAAGCACCCATTCAAGAATCACTGGGAAAAAGTTTTTTAATTCTCCAACGAAAAAACTCAAACACATTCTAAGCTTGTGAAGTCACATTAAAAGTCTCCTGAAATGATTTTTTAAAGCAGCTTCTGTCTGAAGAAAGCACACTCCCTTTGGTAGGTCAGAGAGCTTTTGAATGAGGCAACTCAAAACGGTGGCCCAGGGGTTACAGCCCATTCATTCAGCACGTACTTTGGGTGCATTTCCCTATGAGAGGCTGGGGATGCACTGAATGCCATAGGCGCCCTGTACTCCAGAAGCACGTGGTCCAGTGGCAGGAGGGCACAGATCTGAACAAAGTTCTGTGGGCACCCAAGAAAAAGAGAACTTGGGCCTCTCTGGGTGGCCAGGGAGGGCTTCTTTGCCTGCTAGCAACACTATAGCCTCCATCCCCCAGTGAATGAGGATGGTTGGCCCCACACCAGACCTCTCACGATCCTTCCAGAAGAAGCCTCCCCTGACCCTGACTGTGAAGACAGTGCAAAGAATAAGTTGGAAGGAGAAGAAAAACCTACTCGAGATAGAGCAGGGGTCAGCAAATCTTTGCTGCAGAGGGCCAGATAATACACATTTGGGGCTTTGCCAGTCCAGACAAAAACTGAGGTTGTTATGTAAAAAGAATATGAGAGAAAACAAGTTTCCACAAAAATCTTACTGATGAAATTCGGAATATAATAGCAGTTTTAGAATACAAGTCTGTTAAGGAGAAGAAAGGAGTTTTGCAAAAATAGAATTTTGTGCTCTTGGGGTTCAAATGTAGTGTTCTCATTCATCAAATTGATTGCACATGTTCATCTTTTCAAAACATTTGTAGCTCACAGGCCATGCAGAAATAGGGGGTGCACCAGAGCTTTCAGTCCCAATAGAGAGTCATGGTAATCACATCTTGGAGCTGCTAAAAAAGGGAGGGGCAGCAGTCACAGATGTCACCCAGAGAGAATAAAAAAGAAGGCTATGGAAGGAGGAAAGAACAAGGCCATTTGAGGCCTTTAGAAGAGCTGTTTCAGTATACTGGGGGCCTTGGGTGCTACATAGAAAGGGTTGGAAGAGAAGAGATATCTCCCCTTGTTGGGGACATTGGCCAATGAAAGGACTGCAAAGAGTTTGGTTGTCACTGGAGGGAATATTTCTATCAAGCAAAACTTCTCCCCAAACTTAGGGAGGGCTGTGCCTGTGCAAACATGGGAAGAGCCCAGGGAGAGTGGTAGGAACACGCCAACGTGGCCTCAAGGGTGAGGCTCGAGGTGGACACCCACATCAAGGGAAACTTAGTAGAGGGAAGGTAGGACATGGAGGTAAGTTGGTGGAATGGAAGGAAAATGGACTTTGCAGGAAAACAGACCTTTCAAATCCCAGCTCTTTGACCATCTGCTGTGTGGCTCTCAAAAAAGGAACTGATCTTTTCTGAGCCCTCTTGTCATCTGTGAAACAGTGGCAGCAGAAACTCACCCACAGAGTTGACATGAGGCTTAGAGATAATAATCAGTGAAGCCCAGAGCACCATGCTTGGTGCACAGCAACTTTAACAAATAGCGGTTGCTGCCACTGCCATGTTTTGTTATCATTATTACCTTTTTAAGTTGGAAAACATAAGTGATCTTGCCCCTAGAACTCCCACAGCTCTTGGTCTACACATCGCTTTTGTACTTATCCTAGTTTGCCAGAAATTAATGGATTCTTCTCCCCTTTAGACTGTTTGCTCTTTTCAATAAGGAATTGCTCATTCTTTTATTCATCAAAGATTTATTGCCTGCCTACTGTGTATGAGACACTCTGCCAGGCACTTTACCAAAGTATTTATCCCCTATCTGTATGCTGCTCTACATTATTTTTCTTCCCTCTGCAGAGCACCTCATATGTAGTGGATACCATATAATAACAGAGGGATCACTGGAAGGCAATCTATCCACTTATCTAACTGGTATTAAGTACATGTTATGTATACCAGGCACTGTTCTACATGCTGGGAATGGCACTGGATGAAATAGACAGGGATCCCTGTCTATTTCACATTCTTTTGGAAGAGAAAGACAGTAGAAAAATAATGCATATGCTAAATGATAAATGCCGTAGAGGAAATTAAAACAAGGAAGGGGGATAGAAAGGGCTGCTTGGCTTGGGGGAGGAGGATCTTCAATAGGGACACTAGGGAAGGATGATGAGAGAATGAGCTATGCAGATCCCTGGGGGAAGTGCATTCCAAGTAGCCAGACACCACCACCTTCTTAGATAGGGGCGTGGCTAGTGACTACCAGAGGCTGCAGGGGGCTAGTGTGGCTGGGGGGCAAGAGAGGATAGTGGGGATTTAGAGTACTCGTGCTGTGGGTGGTGGAAGCCTGTGCAGGTGTGTGCACACTTATGACCATGTGCCGTAGACATGAAGAAAAGCATAATATCTGAAGCAGATCCCCAGAGCGCGAACTCAAGAATGAAACCCCAGCTGTGGGGAGAGCCAAGATCGAGCTGAAGGCACACTAAGAGAAGTACTGCAACAGCCCTTCCAGTCAGAGGAGCACTGTCTTAGGCAGGCTTTGACTGGTGGATTTCACGTGTATGATATGGTGTTCTGGGAGTTTAGGCATGCTCCGCCAGATCAGCTCACAGAGCCTCATGTCAGGTCAGTCATGACCAAAGGCAAACCATGCCCTCATTCTCCTTGCCTCCACCACTGATTATTTAAAATAAAGCACCGAGTGGAAAGGAATGAAAGTCCCTCAATAGCTCCTCAATGTTATAAACTGAAAAGGCCTTTTCAGGAAATATGAGGTAAACAGAGGTGATGTGTTTCCCCTTGGGATTTCTGGGCATGATTGAAAATCACTGAACCCAGCCTTTTCTTGCAGTCCATGAAGGCTCCAGCAAGGGGAGGGGCGCAGGAGCCCCAGGCTGGAGTCTCAGTGCCTGGGATTCCAGAACTTTTCAAGCACCACATGGTCCCCGTTTCAACGTTTGTGACACTGACACCTTTATAATCTTCCCTAGAGATTACAAATGAGGACGTTTTCCTTTCTTGCTGTAAATTGACATTTAAGGATTAATGACCACCACTAGGGTAGGGACACAGGAGAGACTAGATAATAGCATTTCTAACCTGCCGTGAAAAAAAAAATCCAGCATTCACTGCTTTTATGTTAACCTTCTGTGCCCAGGTACCTGAGTTTAATGATCCCTCTGACCACACCCTACCTGGAAAATAAATCTTTACATCAAGAAGTATCACATATCTCAGAAGTTATAAACAGAGCAGGCAAACCTTCACACCCTCTTACATCACACAAGTGCAGAGAAATTGTGGGGATTCACTTTACCCTTCGTACTAGAACATACCAGAAGATATACTCTGTTTGTAGAAGTGAACCAAAGCTCTCATGAGGCACAGCCTATGTGAATCTCAGGTGACCGTATCAGTTCAATTGCTCCCAGATTGAGTCATCCCCACTTCATCATTTTGGTACATGGGGATAGCTGTTCCCCCAAATCCTCTATGGGTGCCTGTCAGGGCGCACTTGTGTCCTAGGAGCAGGGGTTGGCTCTGAGGAATACAGCCACACTGGAATGTAGTTGGCAACAAGTGGCTGGTAAAGGGGAGGAAGAGTGAGAGAAGGTTCCTGATGATGGGAGGAGTGTGTTGGGAGGAAGAAAGAGACCCAGAAACAGCTTTCCCCCATTTCTGTTATTCCCCCAAATGTTCAATCATAATAAAGTGTGCATTTTACTGGGCATTCAATCCTGGCTTTGAAGGAAGATGGAGAGAGCAGAGATGTGTATTGACCTGGCTCGTAGGCACAGGCAGCAACCCAGCCTTTGGGACTGTCCATGACCTAAGTTCTCACCCTCCATGCAAAGTGCAGCCAGCAGGTGACTTCTTGTTACTGATATTAGAGAATTAAACAAAAATCTACCTCCAAACATTGATACTGCCCAACGTAGGTATTCCCAAGATATTTCTTTATAACCCAGTCTGCAGGTGAACTGTCAGCAATTAACAGCCATCCTGTAGCAGGTCTCAAAGAATCCTGAAGTGATATTTAGAATCTTACTTATTTCCAACTTCCTTACTACTGCTCCTTGGGGGCCTTTTAAGGATCATACTTTGCTTATTGTGGTGACTGTATTTGGAGCCAACTGTCACTGTGATTTCCACAAAACATTTTGATAAGAGACCAATATAGCACATCAAATTTTTCTAAGTGCCAGTATCCATTCTGGCAGCAGGTAGAGAAAGCATCGTAACTCTGAGCTGATTCTTTCTTTGGAACATCAGAAGACTTGTTATATGTATTCAAAGTAAGAGCTACATTTGTGGGTAGAATTAATGCCAGAGAAGGATTCACCCAGCTCTCTCTCTGGTATTTTAAAACAAAGTAGCAACATGCATGGAGTCATCAGTGGTTGCCAAAGTCAGTCAGGCTTCTGTGTTTAAAGTTAGAAAAGAAGGATGGCTCTTTCTACAGCCTGGCACTGTAGCCCTGGGTGGGTTGGTTTGATGAGGCAGGAACAGTGGGGAGGGGGTGATAATAAGCTCTTTATATACTGAGACCTCTGGAGAAAACTACTGTGTGGGTGAAAGCTGTAGGATGTCCTCTGAGAAGAGTTGGTGGGATGCGAGAGCAAGCTTCATAAATGTTCACCATGCCAAACCTCACTGTGGCAAATCACATCCTCAAAAGGTCCAAGTATGATGAGGGAGGGCTAAAATGCTGTTGTCACTCTCCCCTAGCAGCCTAACAAGGCCTGTCTCTTCCCATCCCCCAGGAATACTCCATCCCCAGTGTCTCTCAACAACGTCTCTCCCATCAACGCAATGGGGAACTGTAACAACGGCCCAGTTACCATCCCACAGCGCATTCACCACATGGCAGCCAGCCACGTCAACATCACGAGCAACGTGTTACGGGGCTACGAACACTGGGACATGGCTGACAAACTGACAAGAGAGAACAAAGGTATGCTGGTCTGTTCAACTGGCTGCTCACGGGCCATGGTGGATTCAACCTGCTTTGAAGGGCTTGAGTTTCTCATGATGACCTTCTCTTTCTGTTGGCCTAATTTCTAAGGCTAGATGAGGGAAGAGGGGGTGAGACCAGGGTCGATTCAGTGACCAGTTTTTGTGAAGAGAATGAAAATATCTAGAATCGAGTTCTCCTTTAAAACTTAAAGTAACATGAATTATGATGGATTGTCAAATGTCTTTTTCAGATTTTCACTCAATGATAAGGATCAACAGAGAGAAACAGAGCAAAGCAAAAAAGAATGATTTGCAAATTGATTGGGATCAAGACACTATTGACTTTTTTTTTTAAGAGAAGTGAGGTTGCACCATGGCCTTCTACCTTCATTATATTCATCAGCTCCAGGGACCTCCCTGGTGGTCCAGTGGTTGAGACTCTGAGCTTCCAATGCAGGGGGCCCAGGTTCAATCCCTGGTCAGGGAACTAGATCCCACATGCTGCATGGTGCAGCCAAAATGTATTTTTAAAAAATTATTGAAGATAATAATCATCAGTTCCAGGGCACTTGATAATGTGGTTTGCATTCAGAAACCAGAATCAAGGCTCAGCTAGTGTTTTTCACTCACTGACACTTGGGACGAAGGATCAGGGCCCCATTCGTGACAACACATGAGGTTTGCTACAAAACAAATGCAGGGGGGACCATGCTTCACAAGAGGGTGAGTCAGTGGTCCTCCACCACTCATCCTGCATCTGTGACCCTAGCTGCCATCCAGGTTCACCGTGAAGTCTCACTGTCCTAATGAAGATAGGAAGTTCAAAGAAACCATACTTTGGCCCTAGCCATTCAGTGGACTTTGATGATTCTGGAGCAGCAGTTAGCGAAAGACCCACTGTAGTTAAAGTGGGGACAGATGTGGGTCTTTCAGATCAGATTGCGAAGAGGTGACCTGAGCTTTAGAGCAGCAGAAACATCTGGCCAGATACAGGCAAAAGTTCATGGCCCACACGCACTGGTGGCTCCTGCCAGGACATGACATGGTACAAGCTGCATGGAGGGAGCTTGGGTCCCGGGAAGTAACAGGGATTTCATGGAATCAGGCTGGGGCTGCATGCCACTGAGATGCAGAGTGAAGTTCCTATGAGTTACTGGCCCCTCCTTCTGGCTGCATCTCTACTGCAGGATCACTCAACAGGCAGGGAAACAGTCCCATGGAACTAGAAAGGGTGCAGATTTTGAAGCCTAATCATTTAAGCTTGAATCGTGTCAGTTACTGGCTGGGTGACCTAAAACAGTTACTGAAATCTGTGAGCTACTCCCTAGCTTCCATTTCTATAATGGATTTAATGAAGATAGGATGACAATGAAACTACCCACAAGGGTGATAAGAGATGGATGGAATAAAACAAAATGTGTCAATCACCTAGCATAAAATATCAGGTGCAAGGTAGAAATCCTACAAATATTTATTTCTCTTTCCTTATTCCATATGATGACATATAATTCAGATTCTGTGGCTATCAAAGCATATTCCATAATTTAGGACTTCAACCCTCGACTCAGCTATTAACACTGACTCCTGGGGTTATTTGCATATGTTGGTTCTATGTGTTCGTGCAGCAATTTTTATATGTCAGGCACTGTACTCTTTGTTTTATCATTTGTCATCTCATTTATCCCCATTTCCTAGATGTAGAAATTGAGGCTCAGTGAGGTTCAGAAATTCACCCATGATATCACAGCTCATCATATTGAAAGCATAAATTGAATGGAGAACTGTCAGATTTCAGAGTCTGAACTGTTAACCTACAGGGTGCACTGCCCATCTAGAGGGCAGAATTAATAATGCATCCTCAGAAACCTTCAATGAATTCTGTTATCTGAGTAAGAAACAGTTCTTAACTTGTCCACTTTCCCTCAGCTTCTGGAAATCAAAGACAACTGGCCCAGACAAGCAAGCCAATCCATGAGTTCTAGAATTAATCATGAAGGCATAAGCATCTCAAGTCTTGCCTAGCTTATCTGCCTCCACTCTTCTCTGTCTTATGTTGTATTGGTAACTGGAGGGCAGTTCAGTATTTATGGATTTCCTTCATAATTGCATACATTTTCAAATCTGGTAAAGTAACTCCTTATAACTTTACTGCAGAACTTTCCAGGAGCACTGTAGTGGCTGGGCTGATGTTTGAGTGAGATGGTACTCATCTTGTTCTCAGCAGCTGTGTCAGGGAGTTGTTCAAGTCCCTGCCTACTACTGAATTAACATGACTCTATCACTCCACCAGCAGAAATGCACTGCACCCCACCGGTATGGTCCAGAGGCTGTTCAGGGAGCTGGACAGAGGACCTAGTTTGGAATCTTCTGTTTGCAGCCTTGAGTTTCACACACTTTGTCATTTCTGAGCTGCTCAGAGTGAGGGACTCTTCCCATATCTGTCTTGTCCCCATAGATATGGGGAAACTGAGGCGCTTCCCTTTTGAGTGAAACTCTCCCTCCCTCCAGAGACCACCATGTATGCGCACCTTTCCCCACCCAGTCATGCAATGGAAATGGCTGAGGTTGGCTGTTCCAGTGGAAGGTCTCCACCCCTGCCCCCTGTCTGCCTGCCTGTATAGCTGCAGATGGCTCATTGCAGAAGATGGGCCAATAGGGCTGATTCTGCCCTCTGTCCTTTGTTCTAGAAGTCCAGTTCTCTATCTTCCCAGATGCTGACTTGAAGCACTTATTAAAATGGTGACCTGGGTACCTAGTTAAGAATGCCACCGCGGGCTGTGTGCAGAATACCCAAGGGACATCTCATTAACATTCATTCGACAGTAACTGGGCCCTTTAACATTTCCCTTAATATTGTATTACAGAAGAAAGTATTTTCAATGCCCAAAATAATTCACTCCTTTATCAGCAGAAATTACTTTTATTGCATAGTACAGGTTAAACAGTATCACATAATCAAATGAACCTGATACATGGAGAAGGAGCCCATATGTTATATATAACATGAAAAATCAATGCATTGTTTAGTGAAACACCATCTGCTGAGCAATCAAGCACACATAACCCATGCATGGAAACTGCTTTACAAGAAGGCAGGAGAGCATCCCAACCACTTGAGGGTAGTCTCCAACACCTCCTCCCTCTCCCTCTGCAAAGATACCTCACCCTCAGCCAGCAGAGGAGCCATTTTGTCATGGACAAGAGCCTGCTTCTCATGGAGATCGATACAGTGCCAGTCCAATCAATTCAGACATACAAAGGGGAAGCCTAGCTGGTTTCTGAACATCAAAGAATTTTTCTGATATACTCCCCCCACCCTATCCCAAAACAGACAGTCTGAGACTCTGGTCCCACTGCTTAGTGGGGAGGGGGCGGGGGGGCTCAGTGTTGTTCCTTGCCTGAGTCAGCTGGCGGGGAATCAGCAAGGCACTCTTACCATCCATGTCCCAGGGGGCCGGCAGATGTGCTGTGTGACAGATCCTTACAGGTTATTTTCCTTCCCTAAAGGAATAAGACAAACCAAGTCAGATGCCTCCTAGACAGTGACTTGGCCTTAGATACCAATGGTGCTAACGGCAGTCCAGGCTCACTGGTTATATCTACATCAAGCCAAGAAACATCAGTGAAGTCATTTCATTTAGACAAAAAGAAAAGAGAGTATTTTCAATTGCACAACACACAGAATGAGAAACAGCTTGATATCATATACCATTTTGTGTATAAAGACTCCTTTCTAACTATAAATTTATAATATATAAAAATATAAATTTAATATTTTATAAAATATATTTGATACACAACTTTATGTGTAAATTTTCAATTTATAAATCTTATATATGTTTCTATAAACATATATGTAAATATATAGACAAATATATTTTATGTGTAATATATGCATATTGTGATATATGTGTGTGTGTATCTCATAAACCTCCACAGGATTGTAATGTACTTTTAGAGGTCACAGTCTAAGAAAATGTATAGTAATTAGAAAAAAACTTACTATGAATTAACAGATTTGAGTGAATTTGTGTTTTCTTAATCACAGTAATACAGACATGATTTATGCTATGGAGTTTGGGGAGCTAATAAAAGATTAAAGCCATAGTGCTTAATATCCATATGAAGTTTGGATCACCTTGTAGGTACTCTGGAAATTGATGTCTAATAAATGAATGAATGAACCAAGAATAACTCATCCAATGCCCGCGTGCTTGGGGTGCTGCTTATGGCCCTACTGTCATTTAAAGGCCTGACTAAGGTCTGCTCTGATTTTCAGAATTCTTTGGCGATCTGGACACATTGATGGGGCCCCTGACGCAGCACAGCAGCATGACCAATCTCGTCCGCTACGTTCGCCAGGGACTGTGCTGGCTGCGCATCGATGCCCACTTGTTGTAGTGGCTGCGCCCCCATCTCCAGCCTTGCCACCCACCACGCTACCTCTACCAGAGCGCCGATGGGCACTGGTGGAACTCCACTCATTTGGGAAAGTTCTCTTTGATTATGTTTGTTTTGATGCTTCTTTTGATATCTGTGAAACACAGACGTCATTGTAAGTGGACACTACACCTTGAGAGCAGTGTATCTTTTATCACTTAGTCATTTTTCTGTATTTTCTATGCATTTCACAGATCCCACCATCCTTTTGTGCTTGATGGAATGACAGTTCCTACAGTATTTTTTTAGGCCCACACTACCCAAAAGAAAGAATGGAAAGCAATTGTGAGAACAGGTTCCTGAGAAGTGAAACAAAATGTCATATATATATATATGTGTGTGTGTGTGTGTGCGCGCGCATGTGTGTGTATGTGTGTGTGTGTGTATATATATATATATATATGTCATATGTCATGTATATGTCTATGTATGAACGCAGACACAGAGGACCTGCAAAGATTCAAATTTTCAGCATTCCCCAAACTGTGCTGTTCTGTCCAGATAAGAACGTATTTCAGAATCCTTTGTTAAACTTTTGTGATTCCCACAGACTCAGTTTTCAGATGAGAATTTTCATTGTTGAAATCCACTGGTTAAATGTTTTAGCAACATTGGAAAGTTAAGCGTGTTAAGAAAATTCATGAGCACAGCAATGCCACTCTGGAACAGTACTCTGGCATGCAGCCAGAGGACTTTTTAGTTAGTATCCCTTTCCTGAATCCCTATTTGAAAAATGTCAAGGATGAGAAGGAGTGGCAACATTTATATCAACAGCTTTAAGGCATCAGCTGGCATAAGTCGTTTTGAACTCCATGATTTGAAGCGTAAATCCTCACCCGTGATTCTCTTTGTGTAAAGCTCTCCTTTGAAGGGCAGTTCAGTGGCGCATGCCCTAGTAGCCTAGATGCTACAACCCAGTTTAGAGATGAGAGATGAGAGGACTCTGGCAACTGTCCAGGGAATGCACACCTCTGCCTCTTTTGCAGTTGATTGGTGGGTCCATAACTGGCAGGACTTTTTTTTTAAGTGTGTTTTGCTTGAATCTCTGGAAACCAAAGTTAAGTTCTCACTACTAGAAGTAGTCATATACAGTTTGCTTCCTAATGGCTTTAAAATATGGACTTCCCCAATTATTATCACATTTGCTATTTTACAGAATTTCTTTTTGACTTCTTTCTGTTTTCTTCTACCTTTCTCTTCCTTTTTCTTTTGTTTCTTTTGATTTTGGCTCATTAGCTTTTGATTGAAATACAATCACTGATTTTATTCAAGTCTATATTATCTTGAATCATTTCCATGAAAATCCCAATGAAAACTCCAAACTCTCTAAGTTGTAGCTAGTTTTTTAACAAAAAATGAGTTGGGGTAGTGCTTCACCCTAGGGTGGTTTTAAAAGAACTCTGAAGATGGGGAACAGTTCCGTTGATTTGGAGATATTTCAGAGTCATTTGAAACTATCCCCACCCCTTTTGATCCTCTGCATTCATTTTGTGTCCCTAAAAATCACAATGTAAATATCATCTTTGGCGTTCCAACCCACTAGAAGAATCCCACACACGTGGTAAAAACTATCCATACATTAGTTAGTTCCTTGTAATTACCTGCCGGTATCTAATTCCATGTAGCCTTTCATCAGCTGAGTTATTGGATTCTTTTCACTGAGTTATGACCAGATAAATAATAGATACATGCCCATAAAAGATGCAATCTTGTATGATTTTTGAAAACAAGTCATGCAAGTGATAGGAACGACAAAGGATCCCCTCTACACTCTCACTGTCAAGGTTAGCTATTATCCCCAGTTGCAAAAGAGCCAGACTTGAGCTCCACTCTGGTCATTTTTGAGCTGAAGGCCCTTTGTGGTATCATAAAGGCTGTGGACGTTGTTCTCTAGTGGCTGAGGCCACGTTGTGAAGATGACAGCTGGGAGCATCCAAGCAGCTGACCCAGCACTTTTCACGCCCCCAGTGTGGTTGAGCTGGACGTTGGCAACTTCAGCATCAACCCTAACACACACAGACACACACTGACTAATGCAACCCAAGAGAAATCTTTTCTGAACCTCTTAAGTGAGGAACATGATGCTATGAACGACTCCAAATACCCAAAGTGGGTGTCACTTACACAGATGAAGCTGATGGCTCTGCAGTGACTCAAGGTCTCTGTTTGTTTCCCACGGCTTACCAGGTGGAGTGCCTGACTGTGACTATATAATGAAGCCCACTGGTCTGACTTGCATGTTCAACCTAGACCACGATCCTAGACCATCATGGATTTATGAGTAGATTCTTCTTGAAATCCAACCTCCAGGAACTAGACATTAAAATGGAGGGACAGTTTCCTGGGGACACAAGTATATTGCCTCATGAATGAAAGACTCGAATCTCTAGTTTCAGTGAGTCGTTCTATCTACCTGACACACAACAGGGAGACAGCCGAGCAGCCTGCTTGCTACCTGATGTGTCACCTCTGGTGGCTGAGTGTGAAGTGTGTCCAGATCAGCAGCACGATGATCAAATCTGACAGGCGAGCTTGGGATCACCACCTGGTTATTTAGCAGACCCATTTGTAAAGCAGCTTAGAAACCAATTAAACATGGAGGATGAATTGCCTTCCTCTCCCAGGAGATGAGACATCTTTCAGTTTCCTGACTAAGGATTGTTGCTGTTTTCTAGGCACTCTATTCATCACGTTGTAAATGGTGATGTGTGTCATAGGTGTGCCGCATTTTGAGGGACTGAAATAATATTTTGTCAAGTAAATCTCTTCAGTGTACCAGTTTGTGGGAGGGATATGAGACATGTGGATGGTGGTGAGAGATCCTGCCTCAGACTGTGATGGAGGCTTGATGAGACACATCTCACAGTAAACACATGGAGTTAGGGTCATGGGCAAAGAAATGGGCAGCTCCACCGAGTGAGCAAGTTCACAAAAGGATCTCAGCCCTGCAAACAGGACCCACATAGGGCCACCACTATGCCTTCACTTGTCACCCAAGCTCCAACCACAGAGAGTTTGACAAGTTTGTGTTATGATATTGGCTTGGCTTTGTATTTTAATTAACCTTGGATTTTTTAGTGGTTTTGTCATATTACTGTCTGAGTTCAGTAGGTAGGATTAATTTGAAAAGAGTATACTAGTGTGGTCCTCGGGGTAGAATTTAGCCGTGAGCATGTTGTTAGCCAGCCTGTAGACTGTTAATTACTTAATAATCTCATTGGGAAAATACTAGTAGTTTTCTATTTGGATGACAGAATTGGAAAAGCAGATTAGCTGCTGCTAACTTTTCAAAGACTTGAGGTTGGGATGCCTTTTTTCCATGTAATGACACTAAATGATTCAAATCTCTGGTCAATAACCAAGTTGCTCAATTTGAAACCATTGGCTGAAATGCCTTTTGTTGAGTTTCCAAATGGATGAATTTTCCTTTGGACAACACCTTACTAGGTGCATTGGACTGGGTCTTCATTGGGAAGATACTTGTCCTCTCAATATCCTTCTCAAAGTTATCTAATTTGGATTGTGTTTTATTGAAATTTGCATCCCAGAGGTTGAAGTTGGAAAATGAAGTTGGAAAGCATTTCTGAAGGCAGAATCGATGTAGATGTGGGGGTAGAGCCCTTACATATTTCACAATAGACATGATAAAATTCACCTGCATGAGCTGGCAGGTGGGAGACACCAAACTGGATCACTGGGTAGGACTACTCAGTAAGGCAATGAACTGCTTGCTTAGAGAAGCATCACCCTCCCCATTGAGAAAATGTGTGGCGAGACACTAGTGCTACACAACATTGAATGGATGGGTCAATTCCATGTCCCCAGATGCAGTTCTGTGGGGAAAAAATATGGAGCCCGTTGTCGCTTGCTCTATTGTGCGACTGGCGGACTAAATTCTTCTTCGTTGTCGTTATCGTTGTCGTTGTTGTTGTTGTTGCTGTCGTTCTCATTTCCACTCGCACAGCCTTATTCTCATAATGAAACTCTGATTCATTTGCTCTTTGGTGTTCGCAAACTCCAACAACAGAACTGGCATCTGTGTATTGATAATCAGCAATGACCCTGGCAGGAGGCTAATCAGACAGGCTGGTCTCAGACATCAATCCTACCATCTGAATATTTTCAGGGAAAGAAAAAGTATGAATTCCCTTTCTGTTCTCCTCCTCACAAGCCTAGAAGCCCACTTTCCCAAGAGCATCATGTTTCCCTCTGTAATCCATCAACTCAAAGCAAATTGCATTGTGGGGAGGGCTGCAGGGGTGAGGTGGGGATTAGAGGGTAGGGAAGCCCTTCCAGGCCAGGCTGCAGTTCTTGCCCCTTTCTGCTTCTGACCTGAGATGGTAATGACTCCATCAGGCTCACCATGTGCTTAGGGGACACAGAACTGCTGTTCCGATCCATGATCAATCATCGTTCTTCTAAGAGATTGGAGCTTTGCTGTTTCATTAACTGTGCAGTGTAGACTAATGGTGTTTAATAAAAATCATTCAAACTTTCAAACTCTTTTGCCAGTGACCTCAATTTTGTTGGCTCTTCAATTTGTACCAGAATTTGAGGAGGGAAGGGGGAACACAGGAAGCCTGCTGCCAGGACCCTGGCTCAATGCTGCGGGGAGCACCCCCCAGGGCCCACCAGCACTTGCTGGTCAGGAGCCACATGTAGACCAACTGGCAACCCTCATGAAGAAAGAACGTCCGTGTGGATGCTTGTAGCTGGGGCTAGCATGCTCCTACTGAGGGTATCATTATTCTCCAGCCTCTGCAATGTGAAGCCAGCTGCCGGATCAGGTGCTTAATCAGAACTGCAACCTATTCAGTTCTGGCCTGCATCACCCCTGTATCTCTGAATAGGGGAAACATCTCAGAGCCTAGGGCCCAGCAGGGTGCACAAGGCCAGCCAAATGCCCCCCAGATGCCAGTGCCCTTCTGTGGTTCTGCAGTACTTGTGACATCAGTGGGAGAGGAGCCCTTAGGCAGGAAGCAGCCTTGGGGAAACCCCCAAAGAGGCTGAATTGGTAACAGGTTGCCCAGATCCAGAGTTAGCTTCTCCTTTGGTTTGCTCAACATGCTACCAGTGATCCATTGCTTAAATGTTTAGCAAGCTCTCTGAGAACAGAAAGCAGTTGATTTGTAGTATTTGCTAATCACCGTGGTGTAACTGCTCCCACCATAGCCTATTTCCAGCCACATCACTGAACACAGAGTTGGAAAGAGATAGACGCAAAGTTGGGAGACCAGGCAAACAAGCTCCGACACAGGACTGATTGCAGCCAGTCAAAGGGGCTCAGAGTTCACACTTATGTTCTGTGCGCGCACACACACACTTTAATGACAAACTATTACATCATTTTCAAATATGGGTCAGTCTTCTAGGAAATGTAGATAGTCTATGATGAGACCCTGGAGGTGTGGGTTTTAAGCTGGAAGGAATGAAGCCTTCTTGAGCCCAAAGCACAGATGCGTTGGCCAGAGTATGTGGGTCATCTCCACATCTGCAAGGTAAAATGGAAGTGAAATAAGTGCTTAGAAAACTCTCATGGTTGGTTAAAAATAAGGATAGGTGAGTATTATTATTATTTCATTATTATCATTTTATTATTATTAAAATGCCCAAGTAGTACTTCAAACTTGTAAATGTCACTTGGATAAATGATTTACTATTGCTCCTATTAATGACAGTCTTCATCAACATTAGGCCTTCTGTGGAGAATAGCACAATTCAAAATGCACTGTGTTGTTTTCTTACTATATGGCAACTCAGTAATTCTCCCATCTCCCTGTTGTTGTTCAGAAGGTTTTTGCTTTTGCTATTAGTAATTGAAGTTATTTAGCATATGTTTTAATTTTAAAGTACCTATTTACTATCCTTGCTCTGAAATCAAACTAAAATGTCTCCTGGATCAGTTCCATGATTAATATTTAGAAATTACCATCCAAAGCAAAACAATTCCCTTTTCTACCCAATATAAAGAAAGCAGTGTCATTAAGAAGACATAAAGTGCAGTGTATTTTTGTAAGACAACGAGGTTTTTGTTAAAAACACACACAAAATCTTTTTTTTCAAATTACACCTCATCATAAATCAACTGAGAGTAGAACAAAAAGTCTCAAAGGACATGTTCTCCTGGTCCCATGAATCTTCTACAGTTAATAAGAGGTTTGTATCTGGAAAGGTTGAAGAACTTGCTGTAAAATCCTATTTTTCTTTAAACATTTCCATGTTCTGTCTGGGCCTGTGTCCACAGTCAAGTGTTAGCCCTGAAGGATATCCGTATATTTTATGCATTCTTTCTGGCCCCTCTCTATCTCCTTTGCCTCTGCAGTTCTTTCTGTGACCAGCATGATAACATAGTTGAGCAGGGGGTTCTTCAAGCCCCTCATAGTATTCCTGCAACATTTGTCCTGACTGGGTATGGTCCCATCTGGGTCTGGTTAATTGCTATCACACTCACACGGGAACTTGGCGTCCCCCAAGGCCATGGACCAGTTTGCATGGAGACAGAGAGCTAGAAATGTCTTCATCATCATCCGGTGATTTTCTATTTTAAAACCATCCTCATGAATCAATCATATCACCCACAAATATTACAAATGAGATTGATTCTGCCTCAAGATAATTTGTCAAATAGTTTTCTTCCTGAATGACTCTACTCTCTGGGTATTTTAGAAAGGGAAACATCTGAGATGAAATCCCCCACATTTGTTCAATTCCACAAATGGCTGTTTTTATTCCTATTTTCCTCAGAATAAATAATGCTTCTGAAGATGGTTTGATGTAGTGTTATCTTTGGATAAAATAAACCCTTTAAAAGTGAGCCTGGTCGAGCTACCGTGCTCAGAATGCCCCTGGGGATCAGAAGATCCCTCAGATTCTTCCCCTAAGCACACTTGATGGTCTGACTGCCATATCCATAGGCTCCTCCAAGAAGAGACTGGTTTCTGTTCTGTTCTGTGCTGGTGATCGTGGTGGCTGTGGCTGTTGCTTGTCTCTTTCTGTCTTGCTTATCTGGCTCTGGCTTTCACTTTCCTGCTTGGGCTCTTTCTGTCTCTAAACAAACGAATAGTTGAATTCAGTGTGAACTTCTGAACTGTAACTTGTTCTTTCTTTTAAGACATAACAGATTAATAAAAATAGGTGTGTTCTGATTTCAAACATGCCACCTGGAGAGGCATGCTGTATTCTGAAACCATGATATTATAACAACTGCATTATCATATGGCAGTATAAATACTCGTCTGTTGAATTCATTTGTCCGGTTGTAGAACTTTGTGGAGCAGTGTTTTGACCTTGACGATGTCATTTTGGAGCAAGTGCAGTGGCTGCAGGCAGATGAGACACTTTACATCAGGATTTTTCAATGAACTTTAGCTGGAGGCCTGGCGATGGCAAACATTTTCAGATGTTGCTGTAACCATGATAAATGTGAAGCACAAATTTCTGTTCCAGCAATTTCCCAGAACTCTTCAGTCAAAGTGGTTTTATTTTAGGTTCATCTTTTTCTTTTTTTTCTTTCTCTTTTTCCTTATTTTTTTTTGAAGGGGCTTGTTGTTATTGACTGAAGAAATATTTTGACTGTAATGTGTATTTCTCCTGTTTTTCCCTCTCTTTCTCTCTCCCCTCTCCCCTTGTTAAAATATTTAAATCTGGAGTCTTTTGCAAATCTGCATTAGATCAGGCCAGGAATGAAGTCTGAGTCTAAGCAGACATTGATGGGTTTTCAAAGAGAAATGTTCCCTATCCCTGTGGCCCTTCCATGCTCCACACTGAAGAACCGAAGGGCGCTTTCCTAACATCGTTTGAGACCTAATGCAGTTTAACAAATGACTCCATGTGTTTTTCCAGTAGTCATTTGACTGAGACTTGAAAAATACCCCCAAGACTTACCAGGGGTGTCTTCTGCCTGGTCTACAGCGTGTGTGTTTGCTTTGTATCTTAGAGGCATATTCCTGTCTAGTGTGCTCATTTGAAGTATCTCCTCACATTCATATTAGTCTGTATATAAGAATCAGAGAGATAATCCCCTCACATGTTGTAAATGAAGATGTGACTCTATAGAACTTTCTCTCCTTCTTGAAAATAAAAAGACATTTTCATGCATATTTTAAGCAGAAAGTTTGTATATTTAAGTGTCATGGAAATATTTATTGAGTAACCAGGATACAAAAGGGAATTTAATTGTCATCATATGCTTTGTGTGTGTGGTGGCGGGGTGGGGGGGGCGGCTCGCCAGCACTGTGTCACTGGACAATTGTGGCTAGCCAGAGTTGCCCACGTAGAACATGTCATCTGTGTCTGTGTGTGTGTGTGTGTGTGTGTGTACGCACACACGTACAACATGTCTGGCTTGCTGTTCTTCATGGGATTTTAGCTTTTCCTTCTTGAAAAACATTGTTGTACAGTTCCAGGAAGGCCATGGCTCCATTGCTGTGTGAAGACTATTTGAAATATAAACTCTTCTCCCCTTGGAAACTATTATCATGGTATTATGGCTCAACTGCATGGATTCCATTGGCCTTTGTGAGGGAAAAAAGTGAAAGTGAAAGTCATTCAGTCCTGTCTGACTCTTTGAGACCCCATGGACTGTAGCCTGCCAGGCTCCTCTGTCCATGGGATTTCCCAGGCAAGAATGCTGGAGTGGGTTGCCATTTCCTTCTCCAGGGGATCTTCCCAACCCAGGGATCGAACCCACATCTCCCCCATCTCATGCATTACCATCCAAACCACTAGGGAAGCTCAAGAGGCTCTGTTCAAATCCAGCCAAGTTTCCAAGAGAAAACTATAGGCCGAGATACACAGGGAGGCAGAACGATGGAGGCGGCTGCATTTGAGCTGAGTTGAGCCCTTAAGGTTGGCATGAACTTTCCCTTGAGCTGCAGCTCAAGTCCCTGAGGCTAGTGTCCTGGCCTGGGCTCCCTCCGTGTCAGTAGATGGACAAAACCATCATAAATAGCCTGGCCTGGTTCTTGAGAGGTCCTGCCCCTAGTGGAAGACCCTTTTCACACTGGGGGCACCCCAAGTGGCCATGGAAATTTGATGACCATTCACAAAGCACCTCCTTTGTTTTACCAAAATCCAATTCAGCTTTTGAACCACTTTTTCTTGGGTGCAGATTTCTAATATTCATACTCATTGCAGATTCACCGACTGTCACTGTTCTTAACAAGCATGCTCATCTCATCAGAATTTCAGTCAGTTCCAATGTTCTGTATCGACTAAGGTAACTGTTCAAACATCAAGCAATGAATGAAATGGTACCTGGTTCCTCAAAACTGGTTTCATGTGCTTTACGTGAAGGAAACTGTATCTGCCTGTGTTGCTTTGCATTTCAAATGTGTGGCGCACAAGCATTTTGTTGGTGCTTTGTTCTCAGTACAGTAACTCTGTGTACAAACGTTTTCATGTAGTTTTGTTGTTTTCCAACACGATGTCTCTGTAAAATTTATATTGGTTAAGCTGGCGCGTTGGTTTCTCTCATAGAGGCATTAACTATACTGCCAATGCATTGAATTATTGAAAAATGCAAAATAAAATTTTTATGAAAATCTCATGTCAGACATGTAGATGATTCTGCTTGCAGATTTTCTAGCCATAAGTACCAAATTACCACTCCTTTTGTGTTCTAAGGCATAGTCAACCCCCCACCCAATTACCTCAACAGCTTTAAAACAGAGCCAGAAAGAGAATAACTCTCACAAAGCCAGTTCATTTGATGAGAGACCCTTGGTCTAGCATTCAAAGCCCACTGAAGAGAACATGATCAAATGTTTAGTTATCTGAGTTCCTAGTACACAGCACAAAAAAGCCTTGCAAAATATAAAGTCATAGTTGCAATGGTTTTTAAATTATAAAGCTAGACTAAAAACTTAAAAGCACAGCCAATGACTACAGCCATTTCCAGTGGAGGGGTGCAGTCACTGGCCTGGGAGGGCAGCATAAGCAATCATTTCAGGTGACAATAATGATGTCGAGTCATCAGGAAAAGGTTCAATTATTTTAAGTATATCCTTTTTACTAAGGCAGGAGAGCCAAATATTTAGAACTATTACCTTCAAAATGTTTAACATTTTCCAGGCAGTGCCAAGGAGGTTTCAGTTACCTAGAATTTTCATTTATAAAGAATCTCTTCCCTGGGCATGCAAAATGAGCAAGTGCAATGCTAAGACACTACATGGCACAAAGCACGTATGGGAACATGAAATTAACAATCAGCTGAGTTGAGCTTCCTGTAAGCCAGTGAAATGCACTTGGCGTGGCCGGATATTCTGACCCTGCTGAAATAATCCAGGTAAGAACACTGCTGTAGCTAACTGTGGCTGAAACTGAAGCTTGTAACACTATCACCAAGAATTCCGAATCCTTTCCATAATTTGAAGCCCACATGTCGGTAAATATGAGCATTTTTCTTAGGAGATAATGAAGAAGTATTTAATCTGAGTAAATAGAGCTAAACAGAGTATAAATTTGTTCTTGAGCAACCAAGTTGTTTTTGCCTTCATTCGAAAAAACAGATGTCATAAATTATAATCATGCCTAGGTAACTGTGAGCCTGCGTGCAGAGAAGACCCAAGAAGAAAAAAGGCAGAGGGACATTTTTCAAAATTGGAATACTGGGATTATGCTAACTGATCAGTTTATGTGGTGGCCCTGTTCTAGCACTTTCTTATATTAACTTATGTAATCCTCTAATGACCCTATGAGATAAGTATCAATACTATAATATTCCTGTTCCATAGACAGAGGCACAAGATTAAGCAGCTTGCATAACGTCACACAGTCAGAATTTGGACAGTGTGGCTCCAAAGCCCTTGATCTTAACCATTACCATCTACTGCTTCTCACTGTCCTTCAGAGGACTCTAAAGGAAAGGACTTGGGCCAGTCTTCCAGAAATGCCTTCTTTCATGAAGACTGAGATCAGGACCTGGCTGAAGACAGCAACTCAGGAGAGATGTGGTGAGATGGGACTCCTTATGCTTGGAAGTAGCAAATAGAAGAGAGCACCATCTTGTCAGCTACCTGGATGCTCTGGTTGGGGTCATGATTAGGTCTTTGGCTGTCTGAGGTTTAAATCAGTCCTCTTGGAAGGCAGACCTGGTGTGGCTTAACTCCTATGACCTGTATGCACAGAAGAGAGGCAGAACATCCCTGGGGAGCAAGTGTCCTGGACTTTGATAGAGGATTTTAGGTCAGGCTCTTGCTGCCTGACAAAGGAAACTCTTAACCTGTCTATGCCCCACTTCCTTCCTCTACAAAACAGAGTTGATAATATAAGTCTTCTCCCCACTTTCCAGAGATGAGCAAGCTGTCATCAATGTAGGTGTTTCTCATCCTACATCCCCTCCTGGGAACTCTGAGGACTGTGTTGCCCCAAAGAATCTCCCCCAGCATGCTGCCATTATCAAGGTCAGAAAACTTCACCCCTGAGGGTGTTAATGGGGCAACCACCTGGTTGCCTTGCTGGCAGGGGCTCTTCCACAACTGGGTAGATGTGGCAGAATGTTCCACACAGGCAGAGTGGGAGGAGGTGGGAAGCACTGAGACTCTTGCTTTGGTCCAAGAATATGTTGAGATTTGTGAGTTTCTCCAGGAAACACCTTTCAGGCTTAGTGGGCAATTTTATCCCCTGTCCCCCTTTTTCTAGTAAAGAAACTAAAATCTAAAATTTTTAGCTGTGATACAAGTAGGATCTAGGTAATTTCTTAAGGGGGGGTTTGCCCATAAGTTTCAGGTATGGACCTTGGAAAGTGACATGCATTATCCAGGCCCTTGGTACCTGGGATGGATTCTGTGTGGCTTGTGAACTTGGGGTCTACTGGGACTGAGACTCATAGGACCAGGAGGCAAGTGGAAGGCAGGAAGATCCTTCAAGTCATATCTTTCTAGTGGTGACTCTCCACCCTTCATTCTACCCACTTCCTTGGGGTGGGGGGAGAAGATTTTGAGAGTTAAGAGGAAATAAGAGGTGATGGTGCTTGTAGTGCCCTAGAGAAAACATCCGGTAGGAACCCAAGCTCAGATTCCTCTTCTCCAGGGAAGGGAGTATGTCTCCTGCTTTTGTAACTCTCCAGGAATTGCCCAGGTAGTTCTGACCACAGTTCACTTGAATATATTCTCATTTCCCAAATAAGACAGACCCTGCAGCAGCCCAGAGATGTGAGGTTAGCCCCAAGAAGGGGCAGCTGCACCTCTCTGGAAACATTTTCCTGGGCAGGGCTGGACCTGGGCAGAGGCTGATGGGTGGTGAGCTGAGATTCTCTCAGAATTCCTGACTTTGAGGACACAGCGTAATCCAGGGAGCAGGAGTGGAGCATCCCTCATTGAGGTTCTGTTGGCTGAAACTGGTTAGCTCAAAAACCCGCTGATGAAAAGCTCAAACATTTTACACATCCATTCGTTTCAGATAGAGCCCAGAGAAGCACATTTTTCCCCTTGGAGAGCATGCTTTACAGAACCCAGAAACTGGCCAACATCTGATTGTCCTAGATACGGAAAACCCCAGGGCTGTAAAGACCCCAAGACACTGAGCACATCACCGAGATGCTTCCACCCACACTCTGACCGCCTCCTGGGAACTCCGTTGTTTTCCTCCACTCCTGAGTGGAAGCTGGAAGCCTCTGGAAGGTCTCATCCTGTGAGGGACATCTCACCCCCACATGAAAACGTGCCAGAGGGTCCCCAAGATGAAGCCTGCTGTGAGCTACTGCTACCTTGAGGCCATGTCTTTTTCCTCACTCACAGCCCCCCACCCCCCAAGCCCTCATCCCCACCTGCACCCCTGCCAATCCCTTGAACTCACTAAGTCCAGGTGGCAGAAAGAGTCCTAAAGGATCAAGTAACAGGAAGTGGTGGTAGACTCCACGTGGGGCCCCCTCCTGACAGCCTCTAAGCACCCCAGACACCCCCTAAACTGGCTCAGTCTTGGCCTCAACTCACTGAACCAAGTCCTGTGCCAGCCACCAAACACATCCTGAAGCAGAGCTCTCACTGAGAAAAAGCCAGCTCCCCTCAGGAGTGGCCCAGACAACCCTGGCGCCCCTGATCACTCAGGCCCAGCTCCCATCCTACTGGCTGCCTCCCCAGCCACCACCCTCCAGCCTGTGGGGTACTGGGACTCTGCGCAGGCTCTGGACTTAGGGCCCAGCTCATCTCCAGCCCTCTGAGCAGAGGTACCTCAGC